ACTTATCAAACTTGAAATGTAGCTTGACCAATTTAGTCTATTGTCCAGAGTAAAACCCAATAATTTGACACACTGGAATTCAGGTAATGGCAGAGCCATAGAAACAATCATGTTTTGTGATGTTTCCTTATTCATCATGAGTTTGTTGACACTGAACCAGTGCTCCGCTTTTTCTTGTATTTCCATAGACTTATCAATAAGAGCTGCATAATTCATAGAAGAGTATATCAAGGATGTATCGTCAACAAATAGTACACTGTGACATGGCTTCATATAGTTGTAAAAATCATTGATGTAAATAACGAACAAAAGCGGGCCCAAAACCGATCCCTGCGGTACACCTAGGTCAATCGGCTTCAGCTCAGAAAATGTGTTGTTATAAAAAACTCTCTGGAAACGATTATTCAGGTAAGTTTCAATCAAACCCAAAGGAGTGCCTCTTACACCATAATATGACGGTTTTTTTAGTAAAATGCTGCGGGAAACACAATCAAAGGCCTTTGACAGGTACAATAGTGTGACCCCCACAACCTTCCCGGTCTCAAGTCCCTCAACTATGCCTTTGACAACACTCATAGTAGCATCGGTGGTAGAGCAGTTTTCGCGAAAACCAAATTGATAACTGAATATGTTAATATACCCTGTAACCTTGTTACAAATTTTTACTGTTTATTTTATTTTATAGACTTGTCATAAATTTATTTTATACATAACATGATCAAATAAATATATCTATCTAATGTTTAGGAATGTTTCCTTAATAGTTTACCAATATTAAATCAATCATAAAACATATCAATATTGAACATTACCTTATAGACTTATCCCTAAAATCAATTACTGCCATACACCAATGCATCCCCAAATGTATGGGAACACATACCAAGTCATGGCTGAAGATATCTACTCTTTTAGTCCATCTTCTCAATGACTGGGGTCCATCTTTAATCAATTTGGAATAGAAAAATGTGTTGAAGGCATACGATTTTGGCCATTTGGAGTCATTGCCTCTTTCTATGATCATATTCATGTAAAAGTTGATAACCTCATCATTCAACCAGTTCAGTCCTGCGAGAGTTAAAAGATCTCTTCTTGTTATGTTGAGGTTAAACTTTTTAGCCAAAACTTCGTTGGGATCACCTCTGAATGCTTTTTCGACCATTTTCAACTGATCATCAGTTAGGGGAGGCAGTTCCACTTCTTCCTCTTTTTCTTCCAAAGGCAGGACTGCTTCTCGTATTGAGAGAGCTCTGTTGATTTTATCAGTGAGGATATCCATTCGCATGTCTTTATTGATTTTTTCATGTTTGTTGGAACATTCTTTGAGGATATTAATTTCTTGTTTTCTTTGTTCAACAAGGTTTCGATGTCTATCCACCCTTGAACAAAAAATATTATTCAATCTGCATCAACTACATTAGCAATATAACTACCCCCAAAAATAAAATGAAAAGCAATTGTATAATCCATTAATAAAATTTCCCATAATACATAAAATACTTGTATGGTATAAATTTTAAGAAAAACGATTTTTTGACAATATAAATGTCAAAAATTCAATTTTTTAGGTTATATATATATATTGATTACATAATCTGAATATAATAATTTTTTAAATTTTTNTTGTGATGTGATGCCAAGTGATGAAGGGTTTCATAGAGGGATCGATTCGGCTCTTGTTTCATGAAACTCTTCCACTGAAAGGGAACCAGAACCACGAGGACTGCAACTCATATTTGGAATTTGATTTCTAAGCAACTTTTTCGAATAACTTATGTTGTTATCTCCAATGCGAAGCAAAATATCAAGAATTTGCCCTTTTTGCGGAATCACAGCAAGCTAGGTTGAAGGCTGACACTTGGGCTAAGTATTGCGAAAAGTGCGGCCCATGAAGGTCTACACCAGTATCAAAAATCAAATTTCAAAAAACACTAAATTATAGGGGTGTCTTCGTCTTGAATGATTATCAACATGAACATAAATGTACTCAATATAATATATCTATACAAACAATAAATATTTTTTCAAATTAATCTGGAATTTTTGTTTATTAAATTTTTTAAAGAATTCTGTAGCTCATATCTTATCAAATGGTTGTGTTGGTCATCATTGATTTTCAAAGTCAAATTTGAATGTTTGAGCTTATTTTTGGCCAAATGAATGAAGGTACATCATTTGAATTTATGTAAAGATGACAAATCTAATAGTTTTTTTGGTTTATACAAGTTGACTGTAGGCTCCTTGTAGTTCAACTTGTATATACACATTATAATTTTGTTCTGAAGATTTTTAATTGATTTCAATAAGGAATTTGTTGCCATTCCCCATAAATAAATCAATTTATTATAGCCTGCTGGAAAGTAACAATTAAAGCAAAAGCAATATCTTCAAAATCAACTGTCCAGGAAATCTATTTGTAAATTATTTGGTAAATATTCCTGATCTGATTCTGAATGATATATGAAGTGAAAGTATCTCTAACCATAATTTGATATGTCTCTTGGTCAAATAACATCTAAGGAATATTACTGGAGTTTTTTCCCAACACCAAATCGTTATTTTTTACACCTCGACACGTGTTTCGATCACTAAGTGATCATCTTCAAAGAGGAAGATTGAAACTGTTTTAATCTTCCTCTTTGAAGATGATCACTTGGTGATCGAAACACATGTCGAGGTGTTAAAAATAACGATTTGATGTTGGGAAAAAAATCCAGTAATATTCATTACTACACCAAAGGTTCCAAACAGTGCATCATAAGTAACATCTAATGACATAAAAGGAAATATTACGAAAATTATTTAGTGAAAATATTATTTAATCTAAATATATATTTTTTGGCTTAGTCTTTATTTCTAAAAAATGTAAATTGAATTTTATAAAAGGGGTTTTCTATCAATGAATAAAGAAACACGTACTTTCTTCTAGGGCAATGCTTGGTGAAATTTCATGTATCTCTAAAATGTGTAAACCGCCTGAATAATAGATAAAAAGTTATATTACGCCTATTTTCAAGACCTGAGATAAAGATGGCATTCAGGTGAAATATGAGTTTTTTAAATTGAGAAGGGATATTTATTTTTTATTGTGTGAAAACAGTGAAGAAAGGTTTGCAACAAATAATCGCGTTTTATAGTTTCAACTTTTTAGTGGCCGTATTTCAGAAAGTAAGACCAGAGTCCACTAAAAAAAATTTCAAATCAAAAATATGTTAATACTCCTTATAACAAATGTTTGCTCCAAATTCATGTTAGTTAGTTAGTTAGAAATCAAGGATTTTCATTTTAGAGGTTCACATGTCATGAATGTTTTTATTTATTAGTGTTTGTAGCTTTGATCATGTTTAATTTCCTACATGAACATATTTGTACCCCCATGACCAAGAAACATAATTATAATTAAAAAAATATCTAAAATTGAACTTACATCTCTTCCAACCAATCAGTTCTTGTTTGGCGGGCAGTATCAACAACTTTCTTGAAACTGTTCACTGGTTCAACTTTGAAGTCAGGTTTTGGTGAAGGAGGACTGACGAATATTACATCAGGTTCAGAATCTGAATCTTTTACTAGTACAGGTTCGTTTTCAAAGTTGTCTAACACTTTCTTTATTCTGTCTTTTGTTGACAAACGATCTTTATAATATTGAGGTGATTTCAATGCCATATTCACCATCCGTTGAGATCTGTTCCCAGTATCAAAATTATTAAACAATTTTCCTTCAGGTGTTCCATAAATCGATTTTTCTCCAGGAGTCCCAATAGCTTCTAGTAATTGTTTATACTTATACTTTTCATCTAATCTAATGGAATGGTTCAAACTATTATCTTTTTTTTGCAAACCATTAGCTAGCGAGGATCTTACTTTAGATTTTGTAATGTTCCTCAAGCTCCCAAATTTATAAATACTTCCTGAAAATGGTTCTATATAATTCAAGCCTAATTTTGTGGTTTCTATTTTTTTTTTATTAGGCGATTTGATTTCTTTTACAAATTCGACATCATCTTCATCAACACCATTTCCATTCATATGCATATATGTTCTACCCATACGTTTTTCTGGAGTTGAAGTAAAATGGTTGTTTCCTAAACGAAACTGGGAACGACTTCCAGGCTTCTTCACTTCTATCTCATCATTATCATCATCCAGTATGACAGTATCTATAATGCAGGTTGGTGGTGTTTTAAAAATTGGGGATCTCTTGGAGAGTTTAGGACTTGCGAAATAATTTTCATTGTCTAAATCTATAACTCCACGAGACATATTCGACTGCACTTTTCTGCATTTGGCACTTGACAATGGTTCTAAAGGATCTGCAGCTCTGAAATATCAGGATTTTTATTCATTTTCATATTTCAATTGTGACAAAAGTTACCTTCTTTTTCGATTTGTTTCTGGAATTGGAGCGGAGAAAAATGCTCTTATATACTCTATTATTCCTCGAACGTTTTCCATGGTGTTTATATCAGGTCAAAATAGTTCAATCCGGCTGCCGGATAAACATTACTAGCTAAAAACAAAAATATTGTTCAACTCATAATTGAATGATTTGTTCAGGAAAACCAAAATGTGGTAAGGTTATTAGCAAGATGAAGACTGCAAAATATTAAGCCCAACTGCTAAGCTAATTACTTCGAAACGAAATACACTTTAACACTTTGCCACCATATTCTGATATTTTCAGTGACGTCATATGGATATTTTATTTATGGTAGTTTCTTTATATGTGTTCCTTATTGCTCCGAGCTCAGAGTAATATTTGTTACTCTTAGGCTCCGAGTAACTTCATTAGCTGCACAGAACCTGTGTTTCTGGGGTATATAATTTGTTCAATACACTTTTCTCCAGACTTGCCAACCGTAGCGGAATTGACGATTCCAGTACCCCTATTCACTGTTGCCACTATAAAATTTTCGGGTATAAATCGACTAACATTTTCTAGGCTTTTTTGGAATAATTCAAAGTTGGAACAGATATAATTTGTAATTTTATAGATTCCTGGATGTTCCCGGATATATGAATCGAAGTATTATAGTTGATATGAACAAAAATGAAAAATACTAGGGAATTTTACTTTTTAGGTTGTTCAATTGTTCGAAACCTGTCACCTATATATGTTTACTTGTTGTCACAAACATAGCATTTCAGTGTTCAGTTTGTTTTTGCCGAGTAGTTACGTTTTGATAGTGTATTATGTAGGTGTTGTATGATATCTTTTTCCATACCATTACTAATACCAGAGGATATTCCAGGTGTCCTATTGAAAGACAATTTATTGATTGTGCAATGTTGCCAATGCTGGTGATTTATCACCAGATTCTGTGATTTTTATGTCAATGTGGTGATCTGGTGATTTTTGTTTGTTTATGACAAATTTGGAATTGAAAGAGAAGAAGAACGCTAAGCTTGTCGCTCGGTAACTGAAAACGACAACCTCGCATTGTTATCATCGGCATGAAGCATAAATTCACACAACTCATTCCACTTGTATAATAGCGTATGGTTATATGAGTTCTATGTTCAATCACATATCTTCTGTGTTCTGTGGTTCTGTTCATAATTTAAATGAACATTGCTAACTGAACCTAACCTATTTTCTTTTGATTCTTTATAAATTATAAAAAATATCGAAATGCAAAATAAGGAAAATGAATTAAAGACGATGAAATCCATGGATAATGATAAGTTTTTAGGTATTATTTGTGAAGGACAAGTCTAGCTAACGAGTTGGTTCGTTGTTCATTCTCCCGTTGATACAAATTCATCAGAAACATATACAAATACAATCCCTAATGATATTGAAACAAAACAAATTTCTAAACAGAAGAGAAATTATAAGCATAAATACAATTCTCAATGTGAAAAAAGTTAACATGAATTCAATGTAGAAAATTAGGAAGCAATAATTTTTTTTGTAAATGCTGTAATATAGATTTGCAAGGTGGAATCGCATCAGTACAAAAGCATGAAAGGACGAAAAAACACATGCAGAAAGCTGCTTCTGTAAAATTGCAGCAATCATTCTCACAAATGAGGTTCTTCACAAACAACCGAACTCTAAAAGAAAAAAACAACAACTAGAAATAAGATTAGCTTCATTCATTGTGGAACATAACATTGCTGTAAGCAGTGTTGATCATTCGGAAGAAATGATGAAAGAAGCAAGCAAACATCCTGAGTCAGCGAAAGATGTTAATTTGAAGCACACAAAATGCACTACTATTAGAGAGTTCTCTTTATTTTTTCTTTTCATTTATTTTCTTGACCATTAATTATCTGTTTGTTTTTGCTCAAATATTTATTTATAAGAGAGTTCTGTTTATTTTTTTTATTTATTGTGTAAGAGTGAATATTTATTTCAATATATATTCTGTTTCAAACTTTGTATTTAGTTTTAGTCACAATTTCCTACTCATATTTTGTTTAATAGGCAGAATTTCTGAAATCTGGTGGTATTTTTTCAAATCTGGTGATTTTTGCTTCATAGATTTGGTGATTTTAAATTTTGCCCGCCGGCAACACTGTGAAGACCATTCAGTTGCAGAACTCCAAAGATGGTTAGACTTTTTCTATCAGAACGATTCTATTGAATACAATAAACAATAAGTGAATACAATAATAAAATTTCATATGGTATATGACATGTGAAGGTAAAATGACACTATCAAACAACATACAAACTCAAAATTCCCTAAGATTTTTTATTTTTGTCCATATCAACTTCAATACTCCGACTCATATATCCGGGAATATCCAGACATCTATAAAATTAAAAATTCTATCTGTTTCGACTTTGAATTATTCCAAAAAAGGCCTAGAAAATGTCAGTCGATTTAGACCAGAAAATTTTATAGTGGCAACACTGAATAGGGGTACTAGAATCGTCCATTAACTCGACGGTAGCGGCGTACCGGATTTGAACATAAAGTAGCGGAATTTTCTACAAATTGAAGAAAAGTTTGAAATTGTCAGTGACAAATATAACAAATTTATCAAAATTTTTCTTACCTTATTCAATGTAAGCACTTCTCTCTGGAACTATTTCAACAGAATACTCCTAAAATGGATTTTATTAATCTACAGTGTGACAACACTTAAGATGAATACACCCCTGTATTTTAGTCGGTTTTGAAAGCAGAGGTTTGATTTTTGGTACAGCCGTTGACCTTCATGGGCCGCACTTTTCGCAATACTTAGCGAACACCTAGTGACTTCTTTAAACCCAGCCTACTGCGATCCCGCGAATACTCTTGATTAATGAGTTATTTGAAAAAGTTGCTTAAAAAAAATAGATTTTGATCCTAAATTCCGACTTTCAACTAAATTTTTAATTAATGATTCCAAATACAGAAATGATTAAATAGTCAAAATCAATGGAATACATGTATTTGTAATGAATATTAGGTTTTTCGTAACTTCTTATTTAGAACCATTAATTGAAAATCGGACCTAAATATGAAATTCGGTATCTAGGGTCAATCTTTTTAGACCAGATAAATATATATTGTAAATAACTTTTCAATACAAATTATGAAATTATAAAACAACGACAAAAATTAATTGGCGCTCCGGGGCGACTTCATTGATTTCAGTGGCGCATTTGCTTTTTCAGCTGCAGGAAAACCCGGAAAAACCTGCAGCACCAAATCATCTGAATATCTTTATCTGCCAATGTCCTCTCTTTCATAAAACAAAATGTAGGGTGTCTCCAATAAATTCAATACATCGTCAGAACACTTAGTAACCAAGGCGTAATAATGACCAGATTAAACGCCAGATCCACAGTGAACAATGGCTGCATGAAGATTATAATAGTGGTCTGCTAGATTGAAGTGTTCATCTATTTCGAACCTTCGTAAGAGTTTGGTGCTTCCGTCAGAGGTTAAGTCATTTTTGAAGATCATCAGTGTTATTATTAGATTGACTGGTGCCTCAGCTATACTTGTTATCTTATAACAGTCAATTAGTTTGGCGCATGTTTGGCAATACAGTCGATAATCACCTATTAAAATTTCCATTTTCAGATGATTCAACAAAAAGCTTTGCACGGACTGGTTATTAGTCAAATTACGAAACGCTAGTTGAAGTTCCAGAAATTCACATACTTTTTGCTATCTCTTGAACATTTACAACAAAGTAAACAAGTGAGGATTTTTCCAGCAAAAAATTTACAAACACAGAACGAGATAGACTGTACGGAATCATTCAATCCAGAGTGGTTAGAAGTATTGATTCTGCTATTTTTTTGCTCATGAAGAGTATTCAACAAGAATCCCAAGATATCGGAACAATCCTCTTGTTGGCCTAACAAGTATCTGGTGGACTTCAAAGACTCCAGGAAATCGGTTAATGGGAAAGATGAAACATTCTTACAAAACTGCAGCTGCATGAACAGGTGCTTGTAAAATGCTATTCATGTAGCAAGTGTTTCCTAAATTATCTAATCCAATTTTCTTCTCAAGATTTTGAGGACAACTCTACTGATTCGTAAGAAAGAACATGTTTCATAGTATCTGCATAGGAACCATTTCTCAAGCTGCCATTGTGATGTGATGCCATGTGATGCCAAGTGATGAAGGGTTTCATAGAGGGATCGATTCGGCTCTTGTTTCATGAAACTCTTCCACTGAAAGGGAACCAGAACCACGAGGACTGCAACTCATATTTGGAATTTGATTTCTAAGCAACTTTTTCGAATAACTTATGTTGTTATCTCCAATGCGAAGCAAAATATCAAGAATTTGCCCTTTTTGCGGAATCACAGCAAGCTAGGTTGAAGGCTGACACTTGGGCTAAGTATTGCGAAAAGTGCGGCCCATGAAGGTCTACACCAGTATCAAAAATCAAATTTCAAAAAACACTAAATTATAGGGGTGTCTTCGTCTTGAATGTGTCACACTGTATAAAATAAAAATAGTAGAGATGAGATATAATCAGTCTTCAACATTTTCTACTGAAATTCTTAATAGACAAAACAATATGAGGAGAGAATAGCTAATTCAAAAATTGGTTTGGAAACAACTTGGGCAAATAATTACTGGAAAAAAAGGGAAGCAAAACGTACAGTCAACCATTTTAATGTTCCAATTCACTCAACTATTTCATTAATAAAAAAAGCAATGATTTAATTTTGGAATTCTATTTCAGTGAATCACATTAGGAATTTCGAAAAAACGAATCCACAACTCACACCACTTACAAGATGATGAATGACTAGTGGAAGGTTTGAATCAGTGCAAACAACTTGACCAAAGCTTTTGATTGTGTATAACGTGTGATACTCATTGACAAATTGTGTCATTATAGTTTGATAGGTACCATTTTTAATCTCCTCTGCTTCTATTTTGAAAACAGGTTAACCAATACAAGATGGAGAATCGTAGGGTTCAGTATTTGGGCCTTTTTTTTGTTCATTGTGTACATAACTGACTTATGTTAAAGTATTACACCAACGAAATTCTTTTTGCTGATGACACCACTCTTGTAAAATCTCATGTCACAAAACGATTTGATTCAAACTGTTCACAAGAACAAAGAACTTAGTCAAAAGCTGGTCATGCAGAATTGAATGAAAGTAAAAAACAAATTATTAGTAATCAATAGTCTCCTGGCAATTAGTTGAACTGGTCTAGCCACATAGATTATGTACTTTGTGAACTCTCTAGAGTTTTATTTGTTCTAAGACAACCAGCAACCAATCTAAAAGTATTGAAAATATCTCATACTTTCTATTTCTAACTGGTTTTTGATGGAAGTTGCTTTCAGTGGCAGATAAAAGTATGATAAGTATACTTCCTGTAAATCGAAAGATCTTCAAAAATAATCCAAAGATTTAGAAATATGAAAATTACAAACTTTATTCATTTGACATATCTAGCTTTTACAATGAGCAAAAATCATTTGGAAAAGAACAAACTTAAAAATTCATACATATGTTTAACATATACATACCAAAGTACTGAGAAACTTTTCAGCTAACAAAAAGCATTTTGAATAGTTGGGTTCAGTCGATTCCATAGTTAGTAGTAATATATATATTATACTTCAATGAAAACTGTTTTACCAGACTGAACCGTAGAACTTCTCATTCTTGCTATAAACAAAAATCAAGATCTTTCGGCAATATTATTCACAACATTAAACTACGAATGTTCACTCCTTTTCAAATTGAGATTATGGAATCGTATGTACCTCTGTGTTCAGCTCCTACTCAGCTTCAGTTTGTAAGCTTGTGAAATAAATCAATACATTTTTCATTTGAACCCTTATAGCTACCTATCAACAAAATAAAAGTTAACCTATCAAATTAAATTCACGATTAATGTGGAATGTAAGCACTAATAGTAAATATAATAATGTCAGTTAAGTATCTTCAATGAAGTCTTATTTATCACATGAACCTCAAAATCATACAACTCTAACGAATTCACATTGTCTTCACATTGGTCAAAAAATAGTTTGCCATGTAAAATTTGGTTCGCAGCATATCACTCAAAATAAATATAATCAAGTATTCATATCTATAACTTCACAAAATAGAATTATATTGATTCAAGTTTCATTTTACCATATGGAAATAAAAAAATATGTTCATCAAGTCCTCTAAAAATAAAGAGACCAGATATATCACAGGTACACATATTCAAATTTCTATATATAGCTTAGAAAACCAATGAAATAATTCAATAAATACAAAGAGGGGTAAAAGTGACAATGCCTGAAGTGGTGAAACCCAAAACATTAATAAGGAACATTTTTTCACAAATCTTTTCATCTAGTTTCCTTTTGACTGAAGTAATAAAATAAGTAGATTCAACTCTATATTATCTCCACACAAAATAGAATCGAAAGAGCAGAATTTTTACAGTAATTTAAGGAAACCAAATAATGAATTCTTCTCAGAAAATTACATCAATCCAAATTTGTATAGGTATAAATAAAATTGTTCTGTCATACTTCTCTCAATCATGAGAATTATGAGATCATTTTGAGAAGTTATAATAATCAACTTGGGTTTCTAAATACCCTTTGGTAAGATAATTCAACAAATATGCCCCTTTTTTATTCTGACGGTGTGAGATCTTTTTCTATTTCGCTCTCGTTTAGTAATTGGACCAATAATTCATAAACTGGTTCAAAAGCTTTCTTGCTACCAGAATTGGTGAGGAGCAAATAATCGTGCATATCATGATGACTGATTGTACCATCGGGCTGGATGAATCCTTTATCAATTTCAACCAACTGTACCTTCGATCTGCCATTAAGACTTGATTTAAGTAGTTCATTCACCTTAGCCAATTTCTCTCTCACTGGATTAGGATGTTGACCTCTCGGAAGTAATGTCTAGAAAATATAATGTAAATATTTTTGCGAAACTAAACTGTTCATATTTAATCATGAATGTTTTTTGAATCTAACAAACTATGAAAATGATTCATTTACATTTTTTGTAAAATAAAAGCAAAATAATATTCATATTTGATTTTCTTACCGGAACAACAATATAAACATCTGAATGTTTTTGCTTAATTTCACATATTATATCCAGGATTCCATATCGAATGCCCTCTGCTGTAAGTGAATGATCGTTTGTTCCTACATGAAGAACAATTACCTAAAAATGGAAAAAGTATGAAAAATATTTTTACTGTATTTCAATTAAAATGAGAATAATAATGAGACTAAAATGGAGTTTATTCTCTTGCGTGATAATTTGAAAATTATATACAATTTATAATGAGACTAAAATGGAGTTTATTCTCTTGCGTGACAATTTGAAAATTATATACAATTATCAAAAATATGCTTCTACAAACAAAAAGTTTATTATATGTGCAGAAATAAATTTTGAGTTATTGGAGCATTACAATAATATATGTAAATACTACATGAAAACCACAAATAGTCTAAATGAGTTTGTGTTATTTAATACATGGACATTCCAGATTTGTAAGTATAGCTTAAATATCCATATGTACCTACATAAAAACTTCTAGCAAAAGAGATATATTTAAGACAACAAAAAAATCGCCATTGTGTCATGTTCCGTTAAAAAAATATATAAACTCTCTCAGCCACTTCAAAGGTGAAACACTTTTTATTATTTGCAGCCAAAGTGTTGATGCCCAATCTTATATTCATGAAAAAATCCTGAACACTTTTGAGAGTAAGTAGATCAGACTTTTTCAACTATTTCCAATACAAGTAATGAGTAATGTTGATAATGAGTCCTGCGATTGATTCCTGAGGAACTCTCCACTCTAAATAATGAAAGAAAAAACGTACCACAACTTCTCAATTTAATTACGAGAATTTCATGTGACACATAATCAAAATCTTTGAAAAATTATGCTGAAGGCGAATTTTCTTTATTAAATTTATCATTGATGTAAATCATAATCTGTATGTGTAAGTAATATGTCGATCTTACCCTAGGTTTCACATGATCCAGCTCCCCATGAGTAATTCGCCATAAAACTTTCTCAATTGTATCTCCATGTATTCCAAAGTTAAGGCAATGTAATGGGGCAAAAAACTCATTCCAAACGTCAGTATGTTGTAAAGCTTGAATTATCGAATCTCCAATGAATATTACATCGGGATCTTTCTCTCTGGTCTCAGAAAGAAAACGATTGTGCTAAAAACCTTAATGAAATTCATTCAGTTAATAACTAACCAAAAAAAAACTTACAATGCTTATCCACCTATTATCACCATCGCTTTCAAATTCTGAAGATATTGGGACTTTATTCATTATATTTCCTTTGAATTTATTTCAACAGGACAAATCAGATAGTCTCGAGTAATAGTTTTTATTGACTGTACGAAATGATACAATACTAAATACTATGCTTGAATACGAATACGAATCCAGCCTGAAATTAGGAATATTGACACTTCAATTTATAAAATATAAGCTGCATTCCAGTTGACGCCCGATTGAGCGAACTATGCAGTGCTGGAGCAGAATAAGGGTACTCCAGGAATACCAAAAGCACAGATTACGTACAACGTATGTAACCAGATATTAAACTACTATTTCAAAGATTAAAGTAAACAAGACTCCGACTAAGGAAAAAGCGAGAAAACCTGTCATTGGCCTCGAATTTCACTACGTGTCTGCTTTTACTGCTATGACACATTTCATATATTATGTCAGCTAACTGCTTACTCCTCATAGGCAAATTTTATTAAGTGATTTATTAGCAAACTCTATACATACAAATTTGGAATTTATCTTTTAGGCTTCTGAAGTGCTTTTCATCTGCATTTGTTGTCGAATATATCATGAGTTGTGGATATAATGTAAATTGATACCTTATATTTTAAAAAAACTAATCAATACAGTTTACAATACAATCAACTACAATAGTTACTTTTTTCATAAACTACACCTTATAATTTGATCTTCATCAAGTAACGGCCGAAACAATCAGAAAAAAAATACCATAGGAGCCTTCAATCTCTCGTACATTCTTTATAACAAGAATTTGTAGTAAACATTTTGAATAATCATAATTTAAAGAAAGTTCTTAGACTGAATTTATTATATAAGGGAGAAAGCTGAGGCGAGTTCTTAAATTCAACAGGAAATTTCCAATGACTTTTTTCAACCAATAGAAATGGACTAATTCGAATGAATAATACATCTATCCATCGGTAGATTTATTGATGAATTTAAGAACTCGTCTTGTCCCATATGCTGACTTGGCAACACATTAAAAAAACATATAGAAATATATTTTAGATTTTGAATGATTGACAATTGACAGTTTACACTGTTTACAGCTAGCCCAGTAAAAAATTCAAATACAATCTTGTAAGAAAATCCCCTGAATCTGACCCCAAATTAATTATATTATCAACTTACTACGTTTTTGAACACTCAAAATGACATTCAATGACAATGTTACAAAACAATTTGCTGTCAACTGGAATAACCATATGAATCATGTTAGAAAGGCATTTGATCAGCTTCTCAAAAACAGTGAATTCACTGATGTAACTTTATATGCTGATGGAAAGAAAATTGGAGCACATAAAATGCTACTTTCAGCTTGTAGCATTTATTTCAGAAATTTATTTTTAGAATTTCCACAAGAACACCCTTTGGTTGTTTTGAAAGGAGTGAAATTTTCAGTATTGGTAGATATACTCAAATTCATTTATAGCGGCGAAGTAAGTGTGGACAGTGACGTGTTTGAGATTTTCTTACAAACGGCAGAGTTTCTACAAATAAGTGGTTTAACAAACTCTGGAAAGAATGGAGAACCTGGAAAAATTGAGAAATCTCTAACCAGGGATTTCTATCCTTGTGATACTAATCTAAAAACTAAGAAAGCTAAACAAAACAGTTTCGAGGACCACTATGGTCTTCATAAGGAAGAACCAACTGAGTGCTTTGGTGATACTGAATATGTTGATGAGGAACCTAAAATATTATCCTCGATCTTTGCTGGCGAAATATCTGATCAGGAAAAATCACAGTTTCCATCTGAAATATTGTTACAAACAGGTATGTTTTGTAAATATTTATCCATCTAGTTTACATTAATCACTAATACTGTTGTAGCCTCTGAGAATAATTACCAAACTATAGCCAAAGGTAAGTTAGAAATTTTGAGTATAATTTTCTTTCAATATTCATCCATCTTCACATTATATTCAAATTACACAAAGAATGTTCTTCAAGAAGAACTAACTTAAAACATCTTCAAGGTTGATACAACTTGAATCCCGTTAAGACAGCAGAACCAATTTGTAATTAAACATTTGTATATGTCATGATTTAAGACTATTGTCACTAGTTGTGTGTGAATTCACTTTAAATGTTACTTAAGAGCTGAATAGTTTATTTTGTGAATTTGGGAAATGTTTGAATCTGTTTCATTAAGTTTGGAAGTATGTTCAAAAGCTTGATAGCTACATATTTACTTTGGGCTCTTCTTTGATGTTTGTAGTCTCTTTTGATAGGTAGAATTGAAACTTGTTCTTTTTTTTAAGGACAAAACACAAGCACTGCAGAAAAATCCTTGAGGCGCTCTAAGAGCGGTGCCTGTGGGAAATTAGTGATTCACATTGGATTTGAATCGCTGGAGATTGAATCCATTTGAAAAAACGTTCTCAGGAAGTTTATTCCACATAAACGCTTTTCTCCAAATGAAACAGTTTTCAAACAGTGAAGTTCGAGGTATACTGAGTTGAACCTCAAAACGATGAGCAGCCACAGTCCGTAGCCTATATGTACCACTCTAATCAAGTTAGCATCATCAGGAAATGAATTAAATTGAATTGTTACAAGTTACAACCTCTTATTTACATCTGGGTAAACCATCATCATTACCAAAGGAAATGGTTCCTAAGTGCTGAAATATATATTCAGCAGAAAAAAAAATAATTACCAGGCATTCCCCACTATTGGTTTATTTTATAGAATTATTACCAAAACACATATGACAGTTGCATCTGTAAAACATTCAAAAAATTCGATGACACAAAATCCAATTTCAGCTCTTACTCTCTCTATTGAAAAAGATGTAGCTAATTTTTAAGATTATAATGGTTCAGTTAGAGGTATAGTATTTCAAAACGCCAAATTAATTTATCAGCAATAGAAAACGCTCTCATAAAGATCTGCTGCACAAAGCCTCGTAATGTTTACGGCCACCACTGCCAGAACAAAAATCTGTCTTTCGACGCACGTTCCGCCAAATAATTTAACTGATGACTAAAACTTTGTTATGGTGTGGGGAAAAGTGTTTTCATTAGATTAATTTTATGACAAAGCTTCCAATTCTACCTATCAACCTAATACTTGGGTTCCGTACTAGTCTGATATAATATTTTATTGGCGAATAAATTCAATTCAATAGTTTCAGTGTAACTTTTTTTGAAACATGGGGTCATATAAATTGATTTTGGAAACACATTGTTAAACTTTTATGGTAAATTGAATGTCAAAAAAATTCCTTGAAGAAAGTTAGCTTTGGAGTCTTTTTCGGTAGTGTACATGGGAGATATACTTCGGGTGGATAAAAATTCTAGATGTAAAGTAATTTCATCCAAACTGCAGAAATCCGAAAAATGAAATTGATTCTACACTTTGGCCCATATTATTGATATTTATTTTGATAAGATTCCTACATAGTATATATTTTTGCAGTTGATGAGGAAACAACCCGAGACCATTATTTTGTTTCTGCTGGGAGTGTCAGTACAACACACAAAACTGACAACTTGACATGTCCCATATGCCATAAAGTGTTCACACATCCTTACAGTCTTCACCATCATAAACCTGTTCATTTGGGTCGAACCAAGTGTACAATTTGTAACGTCGTGCTTTCCAGAAAGTATAATTTGAAGATGCATATGAAATCGAGGCATAATATAGTATAAGAGTATTTTCCTGACTGTATTTTCTAAGTAATGATATTTGTTTATTGTGATTTTTTGTGATATATTGTGTTAGTCTCACTTGGTAAATGTTTCAATTGTTATTAGATAAATGTGCCCTCTATTTAAAAGTTTATTACGCTTTCGTTGATCTCTTTGAACTATTTTTGTCTGTGATGGTATTTTATTAAAAAATTCTGAATTTTTTTGTATTTATTTGCATTCATCAGAAACAAAACCCTTGACATAAATAATTTTCTCAACATCGCAATCTACATTGCCAATCGACTACCATCGTTTCAAGCTTTTCAATAACTTTCTCACCGGTAGAACCTTCACCAATCAGGACCATGCAAAAACGGCCTTTGTCGAATCCAGATCACCCAATTTTTATACTGACAGAATGAATCGACTTGTGTTACATTGGAAAAACTGCACTGATTCAAATGGTGCTTATTTCGATTGAATTGAATAAATATTCACCGAGATATTACAGTTCAAAACAGACTCATAAAAACAGACAAAACTTTTGAAACAACTATGAGTGCTTCTCTCTCTTGAAATAGTTGTGTTCATAGCAAGTAAATTTAGTACAATATGATGAAAAGTGCCCCCATTCAATTATTTTCAAAATCCTGATATCCTTCGAAGTTTATTCAATTATCACATCTACTTACTCTTTTGAACTTTCTTGAGCCAATCAAGAAATTAATGTTACAAGGATAAAAATACTGTTTTTCTTGTATATTTTTGAATGTCAACAAATCATGATTTGTTGACATATTGTATTAGATTGAAAATGTCCATATAGGAGGAAGCTGCAGGAACGTTAGTTACAAATAAAAGTGTTAAAAACAGAAAGTTCCATTTCTCATGATGATCTCCTATAGTATAACAATTTTCAGTTGAAGGTAACTCATATACAAATTGAACTGAGAGCCAACGGTAACAATGTTAAATGTTAGAACTAAATTCTGACCGGGGTCATTTTTGTTGTCAATGCATCGCCGTTATAAATAATTGAAAGGTAAGATGATTCCATAAAATTTTCCTCTCGTAACATGATATCTTCTGCATATCGATAGGATGTACAAGTGAATAGGTGAACTAGTTCGTTAAATACTCTGAAACATCGGTAAACTGATTTAACACTTCGTAGGTCATTAGATAGGCGTCCTCAAAATTCCATAACTAGTCATTCGGTTTCTTCATTATCAAGCGTCATTATCTGCATAGGCGTATAATAAAAGAAGATTTAAAATTTATATATGCCAAACGATCCCGTAAATCTGTCTTAATAGAAAGAGAAGATATAGTCTCATGGCGACGGAGATATCTTCGCTCTATTAGAGAAATGCGTTCTGCTCACAAAAAGATTAATTATCTGGACAAAACGTGGGTGAATGCTGGTCTCACACACAGGGCAACGACTAATTGTCGCCCATATAGGTAGTGAGAGTTGTTTTTCAGACGATAGTGCACAAATTTTTTTATCAAAAAAAACGGGGGATTTTTACGAAGACATGGACGCCCAACGCTTTGAAGGATGGTTTGAATCCCTTCTTTCACGAGTCGAGCCAAATTCGGTAATAGTAATGGATAACGCTTCTTATCACAGCCGATTAAAAGAACAGTTGCCAACTATGACCACCAGAAAAGCAGACATGCAGAGTTGGTTAGGACAAAAAGGAATTTCATTTTCCTAGGACATGGTTAAGGCCGAGCTTATGAGTGTCATTAAACAGCATCGTGACAGATATCGCCAGCATGTGGTGGATACAATAGCTCGTGCTGCAGGCATCACCATTTTGAGGCTTTCTCTTTACCATTGCGAGTTAAACCCGATAGAATTAATCTGGGCTCAAATTAATGGTTACGTAGCTCGTGAAAACGTGACATATAAAATTTCTGATGTCTAACGTTTATTAGAACTCGCAATGGAATGGATAGGGAAAGAAGATTGGGCTAATGCTGTAGCTCATGTGATCAAGGAAGAAAAGAAAATGGACGGGATGGTAGACACTGTTCTCGGCCAAATAATAATAGATTCAAGTGTGACTGGGGATTCCTCTTCGGACGAGTCAATGGATTCTGAAACTTCATAAGCATAACATAGGTAGTTATTTCTTTGCTTTGTAGTTCTCTTTCTATATAAAAGGAACATAATAATAATTTTGTAAACTTTTGTTATTTTGAAGTACTGTATTAGGCATAATAAGAAAATGTAATCAGTTTTACCATTGACACCAGGTAGCGCCACCTACTATAACAATTTTTACGTAACTACCTATGTGTTTAAATGAATGAAAATATTATTTTGGTACGCCTCTGCAGAGTTGGTAAGAGGATTATCTGTTGGTTACTTCAAGTGCGACGTTGCTAATGAATCACCTTTAATTGAAAACTGTTATAGTATACCACGTAGAAATGGCTACATCAATCAATTAAAATCATGATTATTTAATTCAATAACACAAGATGGCTTGTTAAAGAAGTCACCTTAGACTGTGTCAATTTCTGATAGTACCCTTTGAAAAATGAAACAACATTTTGTGAACAACATGAGAAAACTTTTATTAAATCTACCTCCTACAATAAAGGAAATAAAGAGAAATTCAACAGAACCAGCAAATCAAATTAGCCAAAAAATAATTCGAACACTTGATCAAATAATCACTAAAGAATCGATTTGGTAAACATCAATATAATACATATCTCTGATCCATTTTAAAAAACTGAATTGGTATATATATCAAGATGAGTGAAGCCTACACAATGTGTGCATCAGAAGAATTACGATGATGAACTCAAAATACAACTTTAATGAATCAATTTCTATTTTTGAATCCATATGCTGAATGTGAATGTGCATTATGGAGCGTTATATTTATCGTTCATCAAAACACATAGCTTTCTGACCAGAAAATCTACACAATACAGCTTATTTATACTTTATTACTTTCGATAAGGCTCAAGAGTGAAATGTTTACGCTCTGTTATTTGCCATGTCATAATGCTGAAAAAAAATGTTCCCATAACTAGCAGATAAAAATATTTCAACTATTAGAATTTGTCTCTAAACCAGAATGGAATAGTACAGTGAAAATAATTTTAAAAAAGTTGTATTTTCAATTTGTCAAATTTTATTCTCCTATCTGAAACCATTTTTGAAGAGTTAGTGTAGGGTTCAAAGTGAGCCATCGGTCACAATGAGTTTTTCCCATCAGATGTTCAAAATTTAAAATATTCACATTTGTTGACTTCATTTCAAAATAATCCTATGTCCATCCATGCAATATTTTGGAACTTTGAAGTTTCAATGTCTACAAACATAAAGATTTCAATACTTGATAAAACAAATGAAATTAATTAAAAAATTGAGCATTTCAAATGACTCGCGAAATGAAATATCAATTGTTATGTTGGAACAATTAGAAACTGAACTTTCAAGCTTAAAAACATTTAAAAAAGAAAATGTAATTGAAAAAATACTTGATAAATACTGAAATTCAGAAAATTTGATAAATAAAATGTAATTCAAAACAAAATTAAAGACCAGTTTCAATACATGTTCTTTTATTTTTATTCATTAAAGCTCTATTTTGTTTATAATAATTTCAATATTTATGTTATGAGACATTGGAAGCATAAACTTCCAAAATTAACATATATTGATTCTTTTCACAAATTTCACTTACACTCAAGGCTTCATTCAGAAATTCATAAATGAAACGAAATTCCCCTAAAACGTTCTCATTGAAACTGGGAATAATTTTGAAGAAACAAAATTATGAACCACTATTATACACTTAATAAAAGTCTTGACATTTGAAAAGCAAAACCAGAAGAATATAGTCAATATATATTTTGCTTTCAAACTTACTCGACTGACACTGAAGATAAATGGAAGAACATTCGATATATTAGATGAAATTTTGTTCGTTTTTAGCAACCTAATGTATTTTATTCTTTTGTAGACATATAGGCAGGGATTCACTGTATATAATAATTTTAATGCAATCACATAGAAATATTGCTTTGCCTGTGAAAATACCAAACCTTTTGGTTACAAGTTTCAACGGGGCTCATTATATATCAAATTATCAACGTACATTTAAAAAAATGTATCAAACAAAAGTATCATGATAGCACACTCTTCATGTGACGATTTGTCTTTGGGGATTTAAGACACTTACGGGAGGGAACAGCTCCAAAGGCTATTTAAAAAAAAATACAAACAAATTGACGTTACTAGGCCTACGACTACACCAAGTATAACATGTACAAGAAACACAGAGCTAAAATATCAATAGGTACATAAAAAGATTCGCAATAATTCTGATGTTTTTTTTTTTTCATTCAGTCGGAGTCAAGCAATGTGGATCAAGATCAGTCAGCAGCTCTGTGATCGACTTAATACTACATGTGTTAATAAATAATGATAATTATAAAATGAGTTTCCCAGACTGACAGACTTATATTTACTTGGAAAATGTATATCAAATTCTGCGACATCTTCGCAAAAATTGTTTTTCATTTTTAGAGAGTTCCAAAAGATCCCACCATTTTACAGCAGAAACTGTACGTAATTATGTTGTAAATTTGAACGAACTGTTCAAACATCATTTTTCCAGTGAGAAAGCAATTCTTATGGACACTTGGAATATTCTTATTAATTTGTAGTCACCATTGATAAACATTTTCCAAAACACATTTGTTTATTAGGAAACCTCAGAAAGATATACTATGTACATGAATGGTTTAAAACAGTCAATTGTAATATGTACTCATAACATTTCTGTAACAGTACTTGCTTTGGCTTATGATGTAGATGTTTTACTTTGTGAGATTCTTTTGAAACACAATACAAGTCTTTTTCTACTCATCTCAAAAAGTATCTGGGTGTTCGAATTCTGCTTCATCCTGTACAAACTTTTCTGTATTTTAAAATGTAGGATAGCTCTACAATCATTGGCAGAAAAATCACAGCTATTCGAGAAGACCTCATAAAGTATCCATTAGAAAACAATACCAATTGACTTCCAACTAATTAGTATTGTCTTTTATCTGAATTTAAAAAAAAGGAGGAATATTTTTATTGCTATTCAGACTTAGCAAATCTAAGGAATATTAAAACTACATTATTAGAAGCTCAACAGTAGCTTGAGTATTAGAAGCCAAGTTTTCACAAAGAAAAACATCAAAAAGCCTCTTCTAAATGCAGCAATCAATATCATTCTTTATTGAAACAAACAGAAATTTCCACAGTCTTATTTCACATAATAAATAACTGTCACGCCAAAAAACCTGACTAGGTTGAAAACAACTACCATAACCCCTCTCATGAGAACCTACTTGATGCATGAATACGTGCCAAACATGATATGCGAGGTTATAGGGATGTTCAGAGAAAAAATTGCATGTTCAAGTAGAGTTCAAGGTACACCTTCTCACTATTTTAGTCCCATGTCTCATCCCGATTATCTGTTTCGCACATTGCGTCCATCCCCTCCTCAGGTATGGGCATTTCTCCAAACTGCCTCAATTTCTTTTTTGCTAAAGCTTCTTTCTCTTCTTTGGTGCGTTCTTTACGAAATTCGTAAATTAGGGGAAATATATATTCGATTGCGGCTTGTACATCGGCAACGCTGGGTGCTGAAATTAAAATACTGTTTTACATTCAGACAGTGGTTTGTTGTAATTCATTTTTATTCCGGAGGTGCATATGACATACTCAAGTATACACTTGCCTCTCATGTGAACCTAGAAGGTAAAACCATCAGACACCTTTTATATGAAAATCTGAAATTAATTTGTGTAACAAACAAAATTAATTCCAACAGTTTTAAAACAACTCAGATTTTCAAACCATGGGATCTCCAAATTATGCATGTTAAGAAAACCCAAGCTTCTCCTGGTTCTTTCCCTTTTCTTATTACCTATCCCTTTATATTTTTCAATATTCGTTTTACACCAGATGTTTCAATTATATTTGTCAAGATATAATGCATTAAAAAAACAAGAAATTGAAAAGGTTTTCATTCGAAATACATTTCACAATAGTGTTATCAAATATATTTAATATATTCAACTTCACCTCCAAATTGATTTCTGTTAAATTCTACATTATGCTTTCAACTATTTTTTCTATCTTCACAGCCCAAAATTTCTCAAGTTTTTCCAAACTTCTTCCCAAGTCGAAAAAGTAGAGGGAGGGAGGTTCCTCCCCATCCTCACCCATGGAGACGGCCCTGCTTATAACATATTTTGTATTTGTGGACCTTTTGCATTTCTGATATGAAATACATACATTGTAAACTGAACGAAAATATTTTTCAATATTCTTTTTACACCAGATGTTTTAATTATATCTGTCAAGATATAATGCATTAAAAAAACAAGAAATTGAAAAGGTTGTCATTTGAAATACATTTCACAATAGTGTTATCAAATATATTTAATATATTCAACTTCACCTCCAAATTGATTTCTGTTAAATTCTACATTATGCTTTCAACACACATTTTCTTTATCAAAACAATTGCATGTGTCTTTTATTATCTGGCAATTAAACCTTACACTGACTAATGAAGCATTAGAAGTTGCATCAGGTGCCTGTGCTTGAAAGATAAAGAATTTACTTTAATTGCAAAACTAAGCAATTAATAGCGAATATTATCTTTTGTTATTTCAGTGACATTCAAATCTACATAACACACTAGTACAAACTTATGTGTCTGGTGATTTAAGTTATTTCAAAATTTCTCTGAAATTGAATATTAAATTGGAACTTTATTTCGTACCTAACCACAACAAAATGGAGATATTACATAAAACTCAAACATAAATAATGATATAAATAGAAGATAAAAATTATATATCACAGAAAATTATAAAATATGAGGTAAATAACAATAATAATAAATGTGCTTTATTGTCCAAAGAAAAGCTCTTATTGACAAAGCTTTGGTGAACATTTTGAGAAAGAAAAAACATAGTCAAGTGCATGAAACATACATATACAAACACAAAAATAATTAAAAAAAATAATGTATAGAAACAAATGTATATAAAATATGATTATAAGGTATCGTTATAAAATTCTTGCAAACTCTCGATAAGAAAATCCTTTGTAGATTTTCGAAATTCAGATCAGTTTACTACGCATTTCAGGTAGTTAGGAAGATGATTATACATCTTGAGACCATTATACAATATAGAATTTGTAATTAAAGTAGTGTTAGGTATGGGAAGACTTAAATTTAGGATCTGGCGTGTGGTGTAATGAGGAACAATAGAGGGCACTAAACAAACTTTCTAAAATGAAAAAAGCATACAGTAATAAAATTTTGTTTGCTACAAACAAAGGCCTACAAGAATCTCGCCGCCTGGCTCTACAGAGAAATCTTAATGACCTTTTCTGCAAAATAAAAATCGATTCGAGCCAAGTTTGATTACTTACCCCCCAGAAAGGGATCCCATATCTTGGATGTGATTTTACTAATGAATAATAGACAGTTTTAGCTGCAGTTAGTCCTAGTTTGTTAGAATTTATTTTCACAGCATAACATCCAGATGAAAGTTTTTTGTTAAGAGATAGTATGTGGTCCTCAAATTTCAATTTATTATCAATTAATAACCCAAGAAATTTGTTGCATGACGTGTTCTCAATCACATTTGAATTTGAAGCTAGAGGAATATTATCAAGAATGCAATTAAAGGATAAAACTTTAGTTTTTGAGACATTGAAAGCTAATAAATTTGCCTTACACCAATCTGAAAGTTATGGAAATATCCGAACAAATGGCAATATATAGATCATTTGTGTTGGTATTGCGCCATAATATTGTAGTGTCGTCAACGAATAAAGTAAATTCACCCTCTATATCAATGGTAGTCAAGTCATTGATATAGAGTAGAAATAGGGTAGGTCCTAGTACTGATCCTTGTGATACTCCGTTAGATATGTCAGAAACATCAGATACTGTTGTATATTTAATCCTTTGACTTCTACCCGATAGATAAAATGCAAACCATTTATGAGTAATACCCTCAATACCATAGAGATAAAGTTTCCTGACCAGAATTTAGTGATTAACACAGTCAAATGCTTTAGAGAAATCGCAAAAGACTGCTGCTGTAATCTCCCGTCTATTAATGTTACTATACACTTCATATAAAAAAGAAAATATGGCATCATGAGTATTTTTGTTTGACTGAAATCCAAATTGTTTGGAGCTTATTATATTACCGAAGTTCAAATGTTCTGTTAAACGTATTTTTACCAGTTTTTCAATAATTTTTGCTAACGACGGAATAAGAGAAATTGGGCGATAGGTCGAAGGATTCTCTAGATCACCATCTTTGTAAAGAGGGATTACAATTGAAGTTTTTAAGAAGGAGGGAAATGAACCCGTTAGAAATGAATGATTGATTGCCTTCGCCAATGCATTTAGAGCAGTAGCAGGAAGATTTTCATGGATAATTCGTCGTTACCAAATGCCGATTTATTTTTAAATGAAGCGGTTATTGCCTGTAATTCGCAAACATTAGTAGGGTGTAAAATTAGTTTCTCGTAAGAAATTACATTGCGTAATTTCTCAAGGGGATAATACGGTGCGTCAGATTTATTAGTTAAAGTTGTGGCTATTGTACAATAATATTTATTAAGTTCATCTATTGGTATTGGTATTTATGCTCGTTTATTTTTACACTTTCCTCGAAAGTCATTTATAATAGACCAAGTCTCTTTAGCTCTATTACTTGCTTGGGTAATCCTTTTTTGATAAAAATTACATTTTGCATGGTTAATCGGGTTTCTATAAATGTTTTTTTATTTTTTAACATAGTTATGAAATGCTGTGTTATTTGTGAATTTTTTAATGTAGTTAGGCGATCGTAGATTACAAGAAGAGATTTTTATGCCTTTGCTAAGCCAGTGCTTTTTCAATTTTAATTTTATCTTTTGATGGGGAAAGGAGTTATTAAAAATGGACCAGAGCTGATTATAAAATGTTTGAAGAGGATCAATAACATCCTGAGTATGTTCCCAATTAATTTGACTACATTTTAAATAGAACCTATTATAGTTTGCTGTACTGTAGAGTCTACTATACTTGAACTTTTTACCTTGTTTTGTAGAATCGATGTTAACACTGAAGTGAATAGCTTCATGATCAGATAATCCAGAAGAAATAACAGTGCATGACCGGAAATTATCGTCAAAGTTATTGCATACATAATCAATAATCGAATTACTATGTTGTGTTATACGAGTTGGAATATCAACATACATTTTCAAGTCAAAAGAAGTTAGTAGATTCATCAGCGACTGCGTTAAAATCGATTCAGCTTCGTGAAAATTAATATTAAAGTCCCTGGCAAGAATAATATTTGACTTAAAAGGAATTTCTATGAGCAGTGATTCGAGTTGAGAAAGGAAGGTGTTGATGTCAGAAGAAGGTGATCGATAAATACATAAAATATAAGTATTAACTTTTTTGAATATACTACAGAAAGCTAAAAAATTTTTCAAGAAGCAAATGGTTGTATTTATCAAAATTTTCAAATCCCAGTTCATTTCTCACCGAATCTTTCACTAATATCATAGTTCCACCATGAGATGAGATGATTCTGCAATACTTAGATAATATAGCATAATTGTGAATAAAAATTAACTCATCCTGTTTTAGCCAATGTTCAGTCAGTAGTAGTATATATGCATGTGTGTGATTCATGTTTATATATTTGTGTTTATATTTTCAAGATCATAAACTGATAACTTGGCTTTTCGGTTGGATTTGGCTCATTTTCTCATTGTTTTCCATTTTAATTATAATAACATGCATATTTTATATACACATATTTCCTGTATCTATCATTTTTTGAACACATATGTCTTGGGGGTATGGTAGAGATGTTCACAGAATATTTGTTGCTCAAAAATGAATAATAGGACTCCCTTCGAAATGGACTCTAGAGAAAGTTGCAAGCTGGTTTTCATAACAGAAAAACTCTTATCTGTTTAAATGAGTCATTCATGTGAGAAACAACCTACTATCTTTTGAGACGAATGCATCGATATACTGTTATTCTACAGGAGTCTGCAGGAATATTTAAGCAACACTAATTATTGTTAATACATTTCATTCAGTGCTGGATATTTTTGTTTTTATATGTACTGTAAGGTATGATGTTTGTCTGTATTCTATATTATTTTGATTTACCATATTTACATTCTGTACCAAAAGATTATCATTAGTAGTAATAATAACTTAAAAGAATACGCCAGTCGGAACCTGTTCCTGAAACTCCGATACAATCAGAGGGGGCATGACAATACGAGGTGTGGGGAGCCTTTTGATGTCTGGCCAAGATTTCTTCTTTACTCCTGGAAACCAGAAAGACCTTGAAATTTAAGAGTAGAGAGTGCTTCATTCCACCAAGGACTCCAACAATCAGAACTACCATTTTAATAGAGTGGTCTGGGTAGAGTTGAGTAGCCCGAAGATAAGATGTTGATATTTTTTTCTGTTCGTGGATAATATTCGCCTCACCTGAGGCTGAAAACTCCACGACCAATATTGTCTCACTTTGATGATTGAGAAGGGATACACCAGGCTTATCAGCTTGTATAAGTATGAGGGTGGAAAATCTGTTTAAAATCTGTTTTTCCGTTAATCAGCTGTCGCCCCTATACGAACGACAACTCTCAGAAGTTGACAAACTTGTGCGAGCTAAGGACTAACGAGGTCTTACCTTGTAACGTGTGATTCCTAACACGATATGAATAGTATCAATGAATTAAGCACTTTCATTCCCAGATGTAGATTCGATATTCTCCGGAACATAGAGCTAGGGTCGCATTATGTCTATGGGTATAGGATGAAACCTCTGACTTCAGCCCACACAATCTGAGGAAAGCAAAGGTCAGGTGCACTGATAAGCCAACGTGTGTTACTATCCACAATCGAAATGTCATGGAGTAAATTTGTTTGAAATCTTTTTCATTTTTTTTGTCATTTATCTGTTTTGAAAAACAAAAAAATTGTTTCGTATACATCAATGTTGTCGCCTTCAAAATAGTCCCCTTTAGTAATTATGACCTTTGGGATAGGTTTTAGCTCTTTCAGCGATGCGCTTTAAATGCAATCTTTGCTTGTGCAAAAATTTCAAACAAGCAAGAAAATGTGATCAGGTGCATTATGTTGTGCAAAAGCCATAAATTGTTTGTCCACACACCTGGTCGTTTATTTTTCGGATTGCTTCACGCAAATGGCTTTAAACCTGTAGGTAGTACTCTTTATTGGCCCTTTGACCTTGTGGCAAGAATTCATGTAGTCGTTGAAATTGAAGATAACGGTGATCATAACCTTCACAAGCCCACACATAAACTCTTGTTTTACTCATAGCAGTTTCACCATAGGCCTTTGTTAACATTTCACACATGGTGTTACACTTTATTCCCTTCAGTCAGTAAAACGTTTTATATTCAACAATTTAACTTATTTCTAGAAAAAAAAATCAGAGTACTTTTAAGTAATCTGAACACCGAAACAATTTCTTCTCGGACTTTGAGACAACAAGGGTATTATGATCCACAAAAAAAGTGGACACTTTTATGTGTTTTAAGTATCCTAGTTATTGAAGGTACTAAAATGGATTGTAATATTGCTAAAACTGAATATCAAAAAACATTTTGCACCCTCTATGATTTGCAATGCTCCACATATATAGATCATATTAAAAAAACACACGTTAAAGTGAGATTTCCACATTAAGGTTTATTAACTTTCAAGTGGAAATTTCACATTAAAGTGTCTTTTTTGAATACATTATAATTGATTTTCATCAAGCATCAGTCAGCTTATGGGAGAGGCCAACCATCTTAATTGTGACTTTATAGGAATTTCACAGAATTTTATAAATTTCCATTGATATATGTCTACATTTATACATACATAAGTGTTAAGTTAGTTTTAAGGAAATACTGTATTTGTATTATTATTTTTTCCTCATGGGGATCACCTGTATACATAAATAAATAAGTTCTATCATACATATAAATATATTGAAAATCTTGCCCTGATTTTTCACTAATTCAATTGTACCTCAAAAAATCACCATACAATAACAGGATACTTGTCCACGGTACCTAAATTTATCATGTAAACGAATTATAATTTTGAGAGTTATGTACTATTATTAATATTAGGATTGAAAAAATATATCAGCAAGTGAACCAATCTTCCAAATTATGACAAACTGTTTGATAATTTGTTAATTTAAAATCGACTGCTTTTTCCAATTTCACTTACCTGTAACTGTAACACTGCCAGTAGAAAATATCTTCAAAGTAGCTTTGGGGCTCTTCAGTTTGTAAGTAACTCCTGGATGAAGTTCGGGTTCATAACTGAAAACATATGTCTGGTAAAACTTGCAGGCGAAAGCAATACAACTACTATAATTGCCTCATTTTATTTATTAGAATTATTTGAGAAAAAATAATTGAAAAAGTACAAACACCGTAAACTGAGAGATATAAGAAAACGTTGAAGGGCCACACAAAAATTTTCTTTTCGATTTGTATAATTCTGACTTTCATCTCAGAATTCTGAGTTGCGAGTCAGAATTCTGAGATACAAGTCAGAATTCTGACTTGCAAGTCAGAATTCTGAGATTCAAGTCAGAATTCTGAGATTCAAGTCAGAATACTGACCCACAAGTCAGAATTCTGAGATGAAAGTCAGAATTATACAAATCGAAAAAAATATTTTTGTGTGGCCCTTCTTGTATAATTCTGACTTTCACCTCTGAATTCTGAGCTGCAAGTCAGAATTCTGACTTGAATCTCAGAATTCTGACTTGTATCTCAGAATTCTGAAATGAAAGTCAGAATTATACAAATCGAAAAAAATATTTTTGTGTGGCCCTTCAACGCTTTCGTAGAGATAATCTAAACAAGGCATGAAAAAGAAACAAGTAATCCAAATTAAAATATAGAACATTACAAAAAATGATGGAAACAAAAATCATGGAAGCAAAAAGGTATACATATAAATGGTAAAGATTCATCAGCACTTCAGAAAACAAAACAAAAACCAAATAAAAACTTCAATAATGAAATTGTAAAAATAATTAACAACAGATCTTTATGTTGACTGCCTTTCACAGGTCGGTGATAAACTTGCAAATAAAGTGCTCTAGAAAATCTTTCTAGAGCCAGAACACAGAATATTAACATCATAATGTCTATAAAGATTCTAAAAAGGAAACCAAAAATTATCGCCCCATTTCTCTTATTTATAATATAACCCCTCTTTATCGTGTTTCTATCTCTCATTCTATTAATAGTTTCCTGCTTACAAATGATTTATCCCTGCAGGATATTTTTGTGTGGTTGCTGAACAATTGTGTTAAGAATCAATATTTTGTGGTTTATTGTGCCGGGGCTATGTTTCAATAGTTTTTGTCCTGGCCTATATTTTTTTAATGTTACTGTTAGAGTTGGACACATTGTCAAAGCATAAAACATAACTGTTAGCCTAAAGGAATAATTCTTGCTGTCAACCTGAGATTTTCAAGTTAGGGCAGAATCAAGAGTACTTCTTGATTGTTCAAGAAATTTTACATTTTGGTTCATTTCAGTTTCAATATTTCTCGAAGAAAAATCAATATAATCAGCTTGAAACGCAATCTATTACAGTCATTGTCCTTTGACTGCCTCTCCGATGTTTTCTTGTAGTTAGACAGAAGATGAATTTGTTTTTATCAATTTTGTGTCATTGGCAAAGAGAATCATCGCAGTGTTCGACATCCCCACTGAAAGTAGTTGATATAGGTCAAAAATAGAAATGGACCCAGTACCGAACCTTGGACACCCTGTACAGTACTGTACAGACATAAATATTTGTTGAAGTACATATTTAGTTTGCTGTCTATTATTTGAGTAGGAAGTATAGTTGTGCATCAAATTAAGATCATGGGAGGCACAATCACACTTTTGAAAAATTGATTACAACATTCAACAAATTTTTTGTTATCTTAGGAAGAATTAATAGTAGATATAAGTTTACTTTTGCAAGAGCTGAAGATCTGTTGCAAAAACTGAATTGGGAATTTGTAAAAAGTTTGTTTTGTTCAAAATGGATGTTCATTTTCTGTTTCAGTACTTTTTTTGATAGATACATGGTAATTAATCTAGTCGTTTGGATCACCCTTCTTGAAGATGGATATTAAATGTGGATATTGATATGCTTGAAAGTGTTCTAATCAAGTTAAGGTACTCTGCATAAAAACTGGGATATCACATTGGTGAATATAACTATAAAAGTATATTGGACAATCTTAACTTGTATACTCTCATAGAAGATTCACAAAATAATCAATGGTAGCATTAATTCCCCGGAAGTTGTTAAAATTATAACTTTTAATGTGAATTCAAAGAGAACAAGAAATACGGGTAAAATTTTGAGACTTGCAAACACATACAATATAGACTTAGAATTCTTAAATTATTATTTGGAATCATTTGAAAAGACCTAAAAATATTGTAATTGATTGACTTATTTTTGTGTTTCTTTTTTTTAAATATCTTCTCCTTATGTCTAGCTGATAGTTATAGATTATTGTCACATTGAAATGCGTGAATTTGTTAATTTTGTGAAAAACTAGACAATGCCGTAAATAAATAAATTTACCATACTAATGCAAAGCTCGTTACTCATGTTGAAGAATTTACATAAGGGCTGCATTAACTGATTCTTTAACGACTTCAAGAGATCTACAAGTAGATTGTAAATGTTCCTGCTACTGTTTCTTTTCATATTATTTATCGTTTCTTTGATTTCATTTCGAGTAATTTCAGTAATGTTCATATTAGTGACACTGGATGGACTGAGTGTCTGGTTATATGTATATTGATTATCACTTAATTAGAATCAGTATTACAATTAGTGAATCTTATGTAAGTACTAATTTCTTATTATGTTACAATTGTATTCAAAATTGATTTTCTGTAAATTGTTAAGTAAACATAATATAAATCTAAATACAATACACTTAAAAACTGATAACTTCAAGTTAGATTAGAAAAAGAATGAATGGTAGGGTCAGAAAAATTTATTTTATAGGATTAAAATTATGTCAGTTGAAAAATATGTTAACATAATTTCAATGACCATCAATTTGTATTTGGACTTCTTTAAAACATATTTTTTATTAAAGAGACATAACATCAATTTAGACAAAAAGATGACCTCCAAAATTTTATAATGTGAGTTTTCTATTACAACAAATTTCAATAAAAGAATTTATGCAATTTCAGTCAGCAAAATCTAATATTAGATATGATGAGTACTATTTCTAGAACAAAAATTTTGTCATCAATGATAATCTCACCCACACATACATTTGAAATTGTTTCTGTTAAAGATAACCCAATTGAAGAGGCCTACTGGTGATACAAGTTTATGAAGATAGGGTTGAGTTGTTCTATTTTATGTCCAATTAGAAAAATAAAAATGCAATTATTTAACTTTTTGTTAATTTTCATCAGGTTATCAACACTTATTGTTTGAAAAAATGTTTGCTTCATGTGTCTCCATTGATATATTATAAAGAATATAAATATATTAAGGAAAATTCATCTAGACATTACTTTAAGATATAAATGGGAAGAAACAGTACTGGAATCAAAACAGGCATCAGGCATAGAAGAAATAATTAAAAAAAAATAAACAATCATTTGGTGTGTCATGAAATTTGTGCAAATACGTTTCATTCGATATTGGCCACCTTCAACTTGTTTTCAAGAACAAATTTGTATTTTTTCTGTAAAATTTTGTATTCATTCTTGTCCTGCATTCAGGCATGTATCACACTTATTGTCAACCATTTCGGTCCACAATGACCATCATCACGGTTCAACCAATGACTCAAGAATAAAATTGGCCATTCAAAAGCTTTCTATCATTCAAGTCAATGGATGTCAGGTTCGCACATTTTCATTAGGTAGCAATGATATTTTAATAAAAATTCATTAATTTGTCTATTCAGATAAGTCCACGTGAATCAAAAAAGTAAAAATCAACAAACTGAACTATAATACATGCTCAAAATTTCTGCCGTTACATTGCATATTACATATTTTTTACTACAACAAATCTTGAAAAACCAACACAAATGAGATGAACTTGTAAATTCTCATATCTTTCAAGCTGTTATTATCAACAGTCATTCTCGAACACATTCTTGTGAATTACAAAATTGCATTCAGCAAATAAATGAAAATGAAATGTTACTTTATTTCTAATACTTTTCAACAATTTGTTCAAATTTCCTCTTCACTTGTTTTATATAACTTTCAAGTTCTAACCAATTAATGAGTTTATGTTATTATTGTTGAAAAGGGATAAGGTTCAATCATCTCTCAAATATCTTATTTCACATAGAAAGCAATCACCTAAGGTTCACCATATATTGAAATAAATGAACCAACCCTCTGAAGGATGGTTTGATGGGTAACTGTTGTGATACAACAAAGAAATAAATCCTTCTATATAATACTTACTCAGCTTCCCTATGTCTCTCAGAAAATGAGCTGATTCTGATTGAGAATGGCATGGAACAAGTTCCAAGAACATTAACAACCCTATAGTTGTGGAATCTTGTGTTGAATCCCAGTTTTTGTAGACAACGGGCAAATCTTCTTGCTGCTTGCTTGGCTGCATCTTCGCTGGTGGCTCCTGTACAAGTGATTTTTCCAGAAGACCAGATACTTGCCGTAGTGTAAGGTCTGCGTAATTTCATAGTAACCATGCCGTTTTCTTTGCGGTATTCAACGTTCGCTCCAGAAAGAGCTATTTCACGTAGGTTCAAATGACATCTTACACTAAAACTACACACTACATTGTTAATAACTATGTCTATTTCAGGTTCTTCTACAGTTTCCACGTTTTCATCAGTTTCATTTTGTTCACTTTTAACATCACATTGTTCATCATTGGATTCTGTTAATTGGGGTTTATCACTGTTATTCAACATATTAACATGTTCAAATCCATTTATATTTTGAACTTGATGTACCAGACCGTTTCCATTAGACAAGGGCTTCATACCATTATTCTGAATGATCGTAGCCATAATATGGTATCCGGGCCTATATATATATATATTTGAGAATTTTCAACCACGAGATAGGAGAAAGTGAGTATTAATTCAAATATAAAAATGCGATTTAACTTCGGGAAGTATTGTCCACGGGCATTTAAAGATACCCTGGACCACACAGGAAGTAGGAGGGTTAAATCTCGGTTAATGTCGATTTCGGTACCTTCTATCTATTTTTTTACACCTCACTGAAATTATATTATCGTAAAATAACTTTAAGAATAGTTATACAACTTTATCCGAGCTATATTTTCGATAAACGAAACACTATCCTTTGTAACTGGCCATAACACACAAATACTACAAACTCCACAACTTGACGAGCAGATTTGCAAAATTTTCTCGATTTCTCAATGTCAAATACCGACAGAGAAATCCTGAAGTCGCCATTTCCTCTCCTTATATCTATTCACTCATAGATGGTACCATAATAACAATCATGGATAAAATTACGCTTGTAAAACAATCAGTGTTGCCAATGACGTGGTAATTTCCAAGATCGTGGATAATTATAGGTTTTTCCTGGTAATTTTCTAATAAAATTCATTTTGGTTAATCCCCGAATAATCAAACTGACGATAAGGTAAACATCCTGGCTTTTCCGTCAGATAGAATTCTTTAGTTTTCTATTCGAAGGCTCACGACTCCTATTCCTATTTAGGTGGTCGTGGTCACGGAACAACCAGTAAACTTATTCTTACTCGTATATGTTTAGTGTCACCTATCAATGAATTAAGCGACAAGAGATATCGTTGTTATAAATTGTTAGTATTAAAGGTAATACTCAAATAATTTCAGCATGGTCCTACTGCTGAATGAATAAGAAAAATCTGTGAGACTAATAATCTCTGTGAGGTATCTTGCATAAATATCTGTCAGATATAATTCGATATCCAGCGTGATATTACCCGAAGAAATAATTGTTTTCTGGGAGGCATTTACCAGAAACTATTGTGTAGCTATTTGTAAGAGATTAATGTTTCGAAATTTTAGTTCGAAATATTCATTTTGAAATATTAATTTTCTTGTTTTGATCTCTGTTAGAGTATTGATACATGGGATTTTTCTTTTCCGCTTGGGACTTTGTTCACGAGATGGAGCTGTTATTAGTTGAAAATCTTTCTCTCATACGAAGGTTTCATACGTGCAGTCGAGCCGCATTGAAATTAATCGAGTCCCAAGCACACTGATGTTTGGGTTGGATCTTTCCTGCACTGATGAGAGGTAATACCTCGTAACCGGTCTGTAGGTGATCTACTCGACTGATTTCAGTTTGTTCCTGCTGCTGGATGAACGAGAAACATCTGCAAAAACTAACCTCTGTGAGGTAGGTATCTTGTATGAATGTCTGTCGGATATAATTCAATGTCCAGCGTGATATCAGCCGGGGGAATATTTGTTTTCCGGCAGGCATTTATCAGAGCCTACTGTGGAGGTAGTTGGGAGAGATGAATATTTTGAGATATTATTTCGAAATATTTATTTTCTTATTGATAATGACCTATTGGTCTACTGCACCTTAGAGGAAGCAAAGAAAGACAAAAAAAAGTGAAGATGAAGAAAATGACATTATGTCATATTATTCCAAATGTCAAGTTATGTCGTTCTGTTTTCTGTTCAAATGAGAAGTCTGGATATAACTGATCGAATATGAAACCAAATGTAGGAATGAAATAAAAATAATTAAATGTTAATTTACTGTTAACTATTTATTTGAGATGTCTATACAAACCCTTGAATTTGTCATCATCGATTCATTATTTTTTAATTTCACAGTAGCATATAAATAAATTGTTATTGAAGGACTGCATTTTTTAAATTTTTTGGATGATTACTTGATAAATATTAGTAGAAGAGAGAAATGATTACTCTTGGCCGTCTACTAGGGCTAGGAAAATGTCATCGTTTTTTCCTGAAGGAATTCGCCCACTCTCAATATAATCATAAGGTAAGAAGAATGTTTATTGATTAGTTAATGAACATTTGTAATCGATTTTTAAAATTTGCAATATAATTTCCCAAAACTAATTCACCTGCTTTGTATATATTTATTATGTGAATAACAATTAGTTCACATGTATTTTCTCAATTGACTTCTTTGCATTTAAAATGAACTTTTTCAACAAAGTCTGAAGGTGGATTTATGTACTGATGTTAAGTTTTAAGTTACGAGAATTCATGATTTTCATTCGTTACTACTATTACGAGTCATGCATGAATTACTTTTGACAATCCACGTTAATACATATTACCCATAAATTCTGTAGGTACCTTCAATTGTGATCAATTTAATCAAAGTCCTCTCAACAAAGAATACAATATTGAATCCATAACATAGGTTCAAATTGACCTGTTTACACATCTGATATCCTAGTGTTTCAGAAACATTTTGCTGAAATTTCCCAAGTATAATGAAAGAAGTTATGCAACATCCAGAACATCGAGCCAAGTTTATTTGATTGATGAAAATGAAAGTCAAAATGTAGATAATGTTAGCATCAGTAAATATACCAACAGGACTCACACCTGTGGAGAACTTACCAGTGAAAATATTGGACAATCAGTTACTCTCTGTGGATGGTTGGAGTACCAGAGAATGAATAAATTTGTTGTACTTAGAGATGGATATGGAGAGACGCAACTCATAGTTAAAGAAAAAGTATAGTAATTAAACTTCCACCTTGTTAGAAAACCACATTTTAGAATATTACATTTTTGGTAAAGTGTCCATATTTGAAATGAATCATCTTGTTTGATAGAATTAGGTTTGTTGAAATAGATTTTTTGTTTAATGAAATAGGATTACATAATTTCACAACAAATATAAATAAAAGGAAGCTAACTTTGTTCAGAGTGTAAGTATTCATGTCGTAAATGACTATGTCAAAGCTATTTTTTGTTTTTTTTGATGGTTGTGTCTAGGTTTTTATGTCCGACATTTCATCTATGACTGCAACAAACATGGAAAATAACTTTGACAAAGCTAACCTTAATATTTACATTAATCGCAGTAATAAAGCTTATCTGTCTTTATCATTTGCTACTTCAATTTTTTCCATACAAAATGTTTAATTTCCTCAAAATAGAAAATTACAAACATTATACAAATTTTTTTTTAGTGAAATAAAAAATACATAGTCAATTTCTACTTTGTGTTTTCTGAATTACTAAGCATTGTATTTTAGGACACGGAAACACAAAGTTTCCTAGAAGTCCTACCCTTTGAATCAATTATTGAAGTGAAAGGCACAGTTTTATCTAGACCAAAGGGCATGGAGAATAAAAATCAAAAAACAGGTGAAATTGAGGTTTCTGTGGAAAAATTCAGAGTGGTTAATAAAGCCAGAGACAATTTGCCGTTCAACATCAGAGAATTTCAGAAAGCTAAAGAACCCTTGAGGATGCAGTATAGATATCTAGATTTGAGGTTTCCCATCATGCAGCAAAACTTGAGATTGAGGTCCAAATTGCTGATGAAAATGAGAGAATTTTTAATTAACAATCATTTCATTGATGTTGAAACTCCGACATTATTCAAAGCCACACCCGGGGTAAGATTTTTATTGAATGAAAAAAACTGCCCTTTTCAGGATAATGTTTCTTGCAACAAAAATTATTTTTAGGGAGCACAAGAGTTTATTGTTCCTACACAATTCCCCGGTCAGTTTTATAGTTTAGTTCAGAGCCCTCAACAATTCAAGCAAATGCTTATGGCGGGAGCTATTGACAGGTACTTTCAAATAGCTCGGTGCTACAGAGACGAAGGGGTGAGATCAGATAGACAACCAGAATTTACCCAGTTGGATATTGAGCTATCATTCACGAATGTTGATAGTGTAATTAAATTGATAGAAGACCTTCTTCAGTATTCTTGGCCGCAATCTTTTGATCCAATACCAATGCGATTTCAGAAAATGTCTTATGAAGAAGCAATGGAAAATTATGGCAGTGATAAACCTGATGTTAGGTTTGACTATAAGGTATCATTCATTCTTATCCTTTTATATTCGGGATGCCAATTTGAAAACTGTTATACTCAACTTATGTCATAATCAATAATGCTATTACTCAATAATGTATGCCAAAGAAAACTATGCACTACATTCAAATGTAAAGAAATTGTTAAACAAATATTTCTTTAAATGAAACAACTTTTGAATACTAAGAACTAACTAAAATGCTCAGTTTGCCCATTGACTGTAACCTGAAGTGGTCTGGGCATATTTTGTTTTTCTGCACAACTTGCTAATAAAAAACCTGTTATAATGTCCATATTTTGAAACAGCTCAAAGCTATCTAAGGTAGTCTATAATGAACTGAAGTCAAGCTTATGAAGTTGTCAGTATTTTTGTAGTGCAAAAATGGACTGTACTTGTATTGGCCAATTTTAAATATTGCTGAAAACATTTACATCAAATTTAGCTACTGGGGTTTGTCAGTTTTGCCTTGAAAAATAAATATGTAAATATTTTTAGAGCTGAACACAGATAGGTAAAACGATGTCTAACCTAATCAGTGCCATCCCTAATCTTTTGCTGAATATCTGTTGTATTGATGAAAGTAATTTTTTTCTGATTTGCGACCCATATATTTTTCGAGAAGAGCATATACAACATCAACAAAAAGATAATACTACAAAAGTCAATTATAGTGTTTTAGATTTTGAAGACAACTTGACAGGCAATCATGCTTGAAGAGACATTGCAGATATTTTTCATTTTCAGCTGGACAGTGCTTCATCTCATTATTTTGTTGTCCTACAATTGGCACAAAGAGTGCATTAGAATGGCCTGTGAGATCACCGGATTTAACTGCTATTGACTTTTTTAGGGACATTTCATATGTGGTCTTCATAAAACACAACCTGTCGATATTGAAAATCTCTAAAGATGAATTACATCGACATGCTGGTCAGTTCCCCTTGAAGTTTTCAGAAAAGATCGGCAATTGCTATGGTTTTATTTTTGATGTTTCTCGTCATTATTCTTTGAAAGTAAAGAAACGAACAAAAATTTAACAATTTTATTCTTGTTCCTCAAGAGTTGGATTGTTACCTGGGAACTATTACTGTTAACTTTTGTAATTGAATGCGATTTTTTTGAAACTGTTAATCAGAAAATAATAACTTGTGGTACTTGGATGAATTTATATTTCGGACCCGTAAATCACGCAGATAGCTTTAGCTTCCCATTTTTGCTAACCAAGTGTTGCCATCTTTGAACTTGGCTGAACCAAGTTGATATTCCAGAAATATATCTACAGTATTCAAGGTATTAAATTTCACTATTTCTTGGGAAGGATAATGAAACAGTTCAATAGAAACACGTTTATTTGTGCTACATTCAATGTAGCAAAAAAACTCGCGGCTAAAGGCCAATGGTGACTTTTTTTTATTTGATGACTATAGCTGTCATCACTAACCAAAAAAAGAAAAATGTATGCGTCCACTATCAAAAAATTGTCCAATTCTAGAAAAATAAGTTGAAGGAATTTGCGTCTATGCTCACTGAAGACCATCGAAAGCGTTGAGCACAACTAGAGAGGTCCTAGAAAGGAGGCAGTAATTAACAAACGTATACGAAAGTTGAAGATATTACTTACAACACAACTGAAGTGAGAAAATGATGATATTTTTGCAAGGACAGTAAATCTGAACATCTGGTCAAAAATGTGAAATGTATATGTCTGACACATTCCCACGTGTTGTGTCCCGATTGTTCAGATGGCATTTAAATCAAACGTAGTTCTTTTAATGTATTTTTCACTTATTTTTCATGTAAACATTTCGAGTAAAAGCTTTTTTAAGCTGGTGTTTGTTTTAACTTTTTTTTTTTGTTAAAAAAAAGCAGAAATAACTTTATTTTGACTATTTATTGCCAAAATCTATAAAATGAAAATTCAATTCACAAATGTCACCTTCAAGTTTTTCAATTAACATGTACAAATCCACATTAAGGGTTGGGCATGTGAGACCTGACACCAGCAGTAACTTCGAGCATTTGAGCATGAGTAGAATTTTTGAAACCCTACGAAACATGTTCTATTTTTCTATTTACATTCGTTACTATTCATATTCGTAGGTAGTTGAAACCACGAGGCATAAAAATATTCTTTTAAAATGTCCTGCTTGCAAATAAAATTGTGATAGGTAGAATTGGAACCTCTGGTCTAAAATGAATCTGTTTCCCACACCAGAACGAAATGACTGTCTCTTGACAACCATTTCGATAATCAAGTTAGCATCATCAGCAGACATTTTACTTTTTATTTTCAGTAGTGAGGAATATTTTCAGTAAAAAGTAGTCTTTTTGTGATTTTTCCTATTATATATCAAGAAATATATCAAGGTCAGAAAGTTTTCAAAGTGACATCCTGTGAAGATATACTTGGCAAGTATTTTAATGGGATTCCCATCAGTGTCATGTTTTAGGTAAAAAACTGTACCGATTTATTCAAAATCAATACAAAACTCGCTTCAGAAGAAAATTTCGGTGCCTACTTCATATCATTTCCCAAAGAACATGCTAATCTGAGCAAACAAATAAAGGATTCATTACAAACTTTAGGGAATAAATACGAGAGAGCGAAACTTATACAAAGCAAAATAGTCTCTACTTCAGAATGGTTGAATAAGATTGGAAAGTTATTAACAACCCAACTGGCATCAAGATTTGTGGAAGAGTATAAAATTCAAGATGAGTCAGTATTATTCCTAGCATATGGAAACAAAGATGAGGTGGTAAGAGAAATAATATTGTCTATAGCTCTTCAAATAATACAGGGTAGCCAAAAGAAAACCAAATAAAGCCTGCCAAATCAAAATGATGTAGTCATTATCAGGAACTGTGTCAACATATTAGGAAAAGAAATAACTTGTTGATTTCTTTATTAAAACTGGCTTTTTAGGTATTTTTGACCATGTCATTTTCACCTTCAAGGGAGGATATCAATCACCCTATAATTTTTAATTGATAGAGGGGTGGACTAAGATATTGTTTGACGGCTTTTCTCATGATTATTCTGATAGTTTTGAAGAAAGTACATTCGAAAATATGAATTTATTTAGATGACTCGCTAATTTAGTTGATTAAATATTCATAGTGGTGACCACTTGTGTCCATCGACGGTACTCGTTAACAATTTTATAGAGGCAATCTTCTAAAGATGCAGGTTGATTTAGCATTTGAACAAATGTAAATTTTCAATACTAATCTCTTATAAAATTATCCGGAAAATAAAAATTCGATGACTACTGTAAAGATAATTTCAAAGGTTTCATTAAAACGACCTCTTACTCAAACTCCCATGCCATTTGAAAGTTTTTAGATAGGTGATTATCACTCGCCTGGGGTGTTGGAAGGGGGAGAGTTGAAATTACAGGAATAAAAAAGGGACGGTTTTTATGTGTTCCTAAAATGTCGACACAGTTCCTGATAATGGCTCTACATAATTTTGATTTGGCTACCCTGTACATATTCTCCCAACATATTGCTTCCTTTAGCTCTCTCTATTGGGTAAAGTCAGATTGGAATATGTTAATTTCTTGGAAAATCTTGGCATGACGATTAGGAAGAAAGGAAATCATTTTCTGTGGGTCGTTGATTTTCCCTTATTTGAATTGTCTGAAAATTCAAGCAAGTTGCAATGTGTGCACCATCCTTTCACCGCACCCCATCCAGATGATATGAGTGATCTTGAAACCAACCCACTAAAGGTAAATAAATATTCACATGTAGATTACAACACATCAGAACTCTTCCCAAGACTCATTTCAGCAACCAATTAAAGTGATTTCTGAAAAAAAAAAGGTCAAAAAGAGTAACAATTGTGCTTTTTCAGTATTACAGTCCCTTTTGAATGTATAAAAGGTTCATTTCAATCTATAAATTATTTCTAGAGATCTAAAACTACTATCCATTTCTTATTTTTCATACCAGGTGGCTACTTTTCTAATGGCATTGTATTGGCTTGTGAAATGGAGTGGAAGTTACATACTCAGATTACTATCTATTGGTGAATATAAAAATCAGATAAAGTTCTAAAAATATTGAAAAATTATGTTTCTGTTATTTTTAGTAATATCAAAAAATTTTACTTTGCTTTCACTTCAGGCAGTAGGTACATTCTATTTGATTTGACACCTTAAGATTTGAAATAAATCGATTCTTATTCTCCAGAACCATCAAGAAACCTAAGACATTGAAGCAAATTTTTTTCAGTACCCCCAATTAATTTTTCTTTCAATAATCTGCTCATTAAAATTACCCAACTCTACACCAGTGGTGTAGAGAATATGAAATGTCTAATTTCAAATTGTTCTCATTATCTTTTAATCAATTTTTTGATATCAAGGAAATTATCAAAAGATGATCCAAAAAAATGGATTTGTCACCTTCTCCTTTCTTCTCAGTGTCTCGAAAACCAGACCCAATATGTTTGATTCATTTAACTGGGTCTGCAGTTTAAAAGATATGATACAATCCCATTAAAAAAGTGGTCAACCGATATTATAAAAAGATTCAGATTCTCATTACAATTATTTCAAATCTGTGATTATAGAAAGCTGATTTAAATAATACATTTCATGTTTCAGAAGTTAAAATACAAGAAGTTTAGGATTTTTTGTAATTCCAGGTTATTTATTTTTTATAATTGTGAATTACAAACGAAAATTACTAAACCATCATTTTAACATTTTAGGTTAGGTCTCTTGCGTACGATTTAGTGATGAACGGACAAGAAATAGGGGGTGGTTCTATTAGAATTCACGACCCAGCACTTCAAAAACGTATTTTGGAAAAATTAAACATAGAAACAGATTCTATGCAACATATCCTGGACATGTTAGGCTCAGGATGTCCTCCCCATGGAGGGATAGCTCTGGGTTTAGACAGATTTCTATCAGTGTTATTGAATACAGCCAGTATTAGAGATGTTATAGCATTCCCAAAAAATTTTGATGGCAGGGACCCTCTTAGCGGAGCACCTTCGTCCATATCGGAAGAGGAACAGAAACTGTATCACATCAAAAGTGTACTTAGTCCCAAGAAAAAATAGTTAAGGTATACAGTGAACAGTTTATACATGTTATTGATGTCAGGAGTGGAAAAAAACGTTGCCTCATCAAAAAAACTCATCTGAATAATGATGATTGTTAAAGTTTTTTCTTTTTAATAAAAGATAACAAAGGTGATTTTATGTTTTGTTGCTTTCCAATTTATCATAATCATCTGCAATAGTCATTCATGAAATATTTACTCTTACATTCGAAATAAACATGATCTGTAGCGCTAGAAATAAAGCAACAAAAATTTCCCTTTATATGTAAAGACAAACATGAAGAGGATGCACAAAGTTCCGAATTTTTTTTTCTTAAAACAACAGCAACATTTGGGAGAATGTGGAAAGAAGTCCATACGCAGATCATTTAAAACTGCTGTTGATCTTGATTTGGTTTAGTGAAGCATTGTCATGCTGTATTAATGGACGCCTAACTATTTTTTCAAGACAGGTGAAAGATTCAAGTAATATTTTGGGATAACTGTTAGTATCTTTTAGTAGCAAATTGATATTTTGTAAATTGTTCAGTTGAAGTTTATTGGTAATGAATAGTCTCAATATCAGTTTGAATTTTTGTTACTACTTTAATCAGGACTAGTGATAACTGAGATCTAAACCTTGATACCCTCCATGTTTTTTACTTTCTTATTATATGCTATAAACTGCTGAAAATATAATTGCAGCAAGAACAAACAGAATCAAACGATTTTTGTAAGATGTTTAAACACCGATGTCTGAACACCGCTTCCACAAAATTATAAATAAATAAATTAATTTTGCAAAGAGATATGATCAGTATGAATTCAAAGTAAAATCATTCATTTCTCTATACACAGGGCCGTCGCCATGGGGGGGGCACCTCCCCCCCTGCTTTTTCAACTTGGGAAGAAGTTGGGAAATTTTGGGCCGTGAAGATTGAAAAAAATATTAGTAAAAAAATGAATAAAAATTAAAAATGCAAGAAAAGAAAGAAAGAGGTAATAAGAAAAGGGAAAGAACCAGAAGAAGGTCGGGATTTCCCAACATGCATGACTTGGAGATTTCATACTTTGAAATTCCGAGTTGTTTGAAACTTCAAAAAAGTTTAGTTTCTTCCAAGTAAGAGAACAGTCCACAAATTTTCAAGTGACAGTTTTACAAAATTCCCAACTTTTCGCTGTTTTTTCGACTTGGAAAAGTTGGGAAATTTCGGACCGTGAAGATAGAAAAAATAATAGTTGAAAACAATAAGCACAATATTATTTAAATGTTGTTTCCTTTCATTTGTATTGAATATTCTTATACATAGTGGATATGGTGGAAGACCAAGGACCTTGATCCAAAGTAGAATAATTTCCATTATTATTTTTATAATTACCAAAATTTATTTTTGTTTGTGCATACCATAACGGGCATATAAGCATTCAGCCAATCTTCGGATAGCTAAGTAAGAAAATTAATGTATTATAGTAGTCACTAATGCCTTGGCTTCCATTTTTTTGAAAGTTGGGAAATTTTGCTGGTGGGGTTGGGAAAATTTGGATTTCCTCCCCCCCCGTGCTTCTCCAGTCCTCTTTCTTGATTCCCGTTTCCTTTTTTGCAAGTACCGGTAAGCAAAAACAACGTCCTCCTCTGAGGAGCTCACATGACAACTGATGAAAACAACTACTCCGTTGCTTACCCTATAGGTTATCGTATCGCTCCAGTGTGCAGTGGAGTGTTGCGAGGATAAAAGTTGCATCGGGCAATAAAAGATTGCTCATGTTGCATCGCTTATTCGTATCGTATCGCTCCAGTAGAAACGACTCCTTGAAGAAGTTGCTGAGGATGTCGGCATATCGGTTGGCCCATGCCATGCGATTTTTTCGTAAATTTTGGACATGAAGCATGTGGCCGAATTTTGATAAAAAAAAAACATCGCTTAGAAATTATTGAATGACGTCAACGGCGATCCAGATTTGTTTCAAAGGGTTATAACTGGTGACGAATCATAGGTATATAACTATGACATCGAAATCAAAGTCCAATCGTCCAGTATTGTGGAAAAACATTACCAAAATTTATTTTTGTTTGTGCATACCCTAACGGGCAAAAGCATTCAGCCAATCTTTGGATAGGTAAGTAAGACAATTGATATATTATAGTAGTAACTAATCCCTGGGCTTTCATTTTCTTGAAAGTTGGGAAATTTAGCTGATGGGGTTGGGAAAATTTGGATTCCCTCCCCCCTGGTTTTTCTTTTCACTACGGCCCTGTCTATACATAATTGTATATGAGAAAAATCAATCATATTAGAATGAAAGATAGATACAAATTTCAATAAAACATTTTTCTACTGAAAATTGGTTCATTTTGAATTTTGGTATCATTTTGAGGAAGTCGGGCTAATTTTTATGAAATTTAGGACTAGTGTTAGATTTAACTTTATGATATATTAATTCTGCAAGAAGCGTAATTTTTCACAGTGATAAGTACCTATTATAGTTATGAACAGTATTATTTGTACGAAAAGGATGCTATTTTTGAATACAAAAATATTTATAGTGTGTGTAAGCTTTTGAAAATTCTAACTTGTACATCCTTAGACAATGCTTGTACAACATTGCCAACTTACCAGGGCTGAAGAGTTTGTGGTCTAACTCACAGGTGGCGCTACTACAATCGAATCCACATGATTTTTAATTAACCATAACTTTCAAAAGACACGTTTACAAGTACAAATTTCACAGTGGCCAGACTATTAGTTTGTGCAATAGAGCATTTTGAGTGAAGCAACTTTTGTTAGTTTGAAGAAAATGGATAAAAATATTTATTAAGCCAATGGTACATTTTAACTTAGATATTGAGTTAATTTATAAGAGAAACCAAATACAATGAGTTAAACTTTGTTCTGATTTGGAATGTCCTCAAATAAATGTCAGAAATTATCACGAAAAATAAACTACAGCGAACTATTCAACTATTTATTTAAGCCTACAACACAGAAACATAAATACTGGAATCACTGGAAACCCAAAATGTATTAAGTACCAAGACCTATAAACAATTTTATAAAATTTTTTAAAACCTACAATAAATATGTACATTTAAAATTGGACAAAGAGAAAATCTTCAATCTTCTGCCGTAGGAGATTGTTGCGTGAGTTTTTCAACGTCATTGAAAATTACTTGGGCCCCACCTCCGCAGGTAGGTACTATGTCAGCTTTGTACAACTTTGTTTCAACTTCCCCATCCGTATCTTGATCTTGTGCCAATAAACAATATTTTGTTTGTTTGGGATTGGTAACATCGGTAGCTTTCGTCAACTTGGACACCGATTTCCGTTTTTTCATTGAGGGTTGCATGACTGTTCCCAAAGGTACTGGTTTGATCGAATTGTGTTCCAACCAAACCTGAAATAATTATTGAAACTCTTGAAATAAATATGATTATTTTATTGAACGAATATAATTTTTTTGAAGGAAATTAAAGTTTTTATCGACTTTTTTTTTTGGTATTTTCACCTTCCATTGAAAATTGTAATGGAGAATTTTAAACCGGTATAGAAAGTGCAAGCTGAGGATAAGTTACTCTGTAAATCCAAAAATAATTCACACAAAAGTTCTATTTATAACTTGTATTTAATGATTTTGCCTATTAAAAAAAACTAAGAATGTATACAGATACATACTTATATTTTTCAGATTGTGAAAGGTGAAAATACCCCCAAAAAAAGGTCGATAAAAACTATGATTATTGTATATACCAATTATACACTTATACAAATGTTACAAAGATAAAGTAGAAGATATCCTATGAGGTTCAACCATGTAAAAAGTAAACATAAAATTTCCCCAGTAATATTGGGCTGAGCTTATGTTATGCAAAAAAAACACTGTCACTATAATAATGAGTACAGAAATAGCTGCCTATATCTAGAGATAATAATAATGATCAGTGCCACTGCTCTTTCCACATCTGATTTACCTTGAGCCGATTCTCTGATAGATTTTTTTGTGTGAAAATATATCAAACCTGAAGATTATTTTCAAAATTGCTCAAACAAAAAATTATTTATAACGGGACATTTTATTAATTATTTCCAAAATTTGAAAAAAAGCATGAACGTTCTCCGAGAGGATTGAAACAACTGTCAAAAAGTGACATTTGATTTTTCAAAAAGACGAGATGTGTTTTCTAACAACTGAGTTCAGATTACATACATATCATTTTATAATATAGATAGAGTAACTCATAAGAATTTTGTACAGGTAATTTTGAGTAGTGACCATTTGCTTCTACCAAACTGTAAAAATTTTGACATTTTTTTTTAGACTTGTATAAGTAATTTTTCATAGAGAAGGTTTTTAGGCTATCAATTTTTCTGTAACTCGCCACTAGATGGCGCGGTAGAACAATTTTTTGAAAGCACTGTTCTATAACGCTGCGCACGCCTAAGTTCGTTGATCCTGATTCTGTCAAAACATTGGAACAGCAGCAATACAGCAACATAGTACTAGTATACAATATAGGATAAAGAAGATTATTTTTGTCTAATTTCTACTACTATATATATATCTCATTAGGACAAATANACAACATTGATGCTTCAGTATTATATTAATAAAATTATAATTGAATCAAATCAATAAAATACTTATAAGAAATTAACAAAAAATAAATAATAATTGCACAAAGAAACTTTCCCTCGGTTATCTTAAGGGTGCGATTTTGTTCCATCCAACAAGATATTGTAATTGCATCTAGAAGAGGTAACAAATCAGGAGTATATAAATTAAATTGTGGAACTTGTCCTAAGGTATATATTGGTCATACTGGCAGAACATTTAAGGAATCGTATCCAAGAACATCATACGAGCTATGTAAGTGAGAAAACAAGTTCAACATATTCAAACCATCTTTTAGAAGAAAATTATGTCTTTAACGGAGATTTTGAAATTGTATACATAGAAAATAAAGATTTAAAGCTTAATCATTTAGAAGCAATGGACATTAATAAACTCAAATATTCCAACATTTTACTGAATAACCAATTGGATTAAATAGATCACTATTACTGAACATGTTTTCTCAGAAACAGACATTGTTTTGTTGATGTAGAATTGATATAGTATGCTATAGGTGATCATAATTTGAGGAGGTACTTTAGATATATAAAAGTTGAGTAGATGCTCTAGGTAATTATGAGCCAAGAAGTACCTGAATAGGTATCTCTCACTTACAATTACGTGGGGTATATAAAATTTAGAGTATATAATAGAATTAACTTTCAATGTGTCATGTCATTCGCTACGAAAAAGCTACTGTGATTGCGAAACATGTGATATATTTTTTGAAAATAAAAGTTTGTGAAGATCAAATCATAAAGTGTAGTTTATGAAAAAAAATCATATATAAATGTGGCTAACTCGCAGCATACAAGAATGATTTATTCCTCCAGCATTGGAATATTAGTAATGAACTGAAATAATTAGACACAGATTATTCATGAAGCACCTTGTAGATACTTAACAAGTAAAATTTTGAACGTCTGGCATAAAATCAATTTATTGAAAACACTTCTCACACATCAGACAAGCGTTACCCCAACCAACAGCAGATGTAAGACTTACAGAGACAGTATTTTTGGTCTTCTGCTTCTCCATATTGATATAAAAAAATGAAGCAATCAAGTTCAAAATTAACCAGATGGAGAAGTAAAAAGCCAAAAACCTTTCTTCCCCAATATCAAAAATAATATTTAAAAATCTTACCTCATCTGCAGATCGAGATCTTCTACGCCTAGAGTTACAACCATTTACAATTCTACGTGAGTATTCAGAGGAAGGCGTTTTGGGTGTCTGCGGAGGAATATTCTCCATTTCTAGTTCTGCAGGATCAACAATGACTTCAGTTTGTAGTGCTTCTCTAACCTTTTGAAGTTGAATTTCTTTAGCTTTCCATGCGGCATTTATATGATCCCTCTGTTTTTTCAATTTTGAGTCCAACTCTTGACTCATCTTCTCGCTTGCTAGTGCAATTTTTTGCTTCACTTTCTCTTTTTCAAGGATGTTTTGGTTCAGTTTCAAATCTTTTTCATTGATAGTATTATGGAGAGATCTGATGACATCCTGAAATTCTTCATTTTTAGCTTCCAGATTACTGTTTATTGTTTCTAAATTGGTTATTTTACTGAGAAGCATGTTGTTTTTTTGTTTATACACATGAAACTGTCCTTTGTATCTATTAGCATCCTGTTCATTCTTCAAACAATCATGTTGTATATCAACAAGTTTTTTTCGAAAATCGGAACTAGAGTTTTTTATTTCGGTGTTCAATTCTTTAACTTTTGGCTTAGTTAGTTTCAAGGCCTTTATTACACTGTCAATAGTTGTTCCACATTCATCGATATCATCAAAGTTAAATTTCACCCATGGAAGCTCTGGCATAACAGAGAAAAGAGCTCGTGTATTCACTTTGGCAGGCGTAGCAATTCTTTTTGTAATAGTTTTTTTGATATTAACAGAAGTTTGCTTTGGTGTTGGTTTTACTATTTTAACATCCTGTGACATTTCAGCAAATTTCATCACATGCAAGTTTTCCTCTAGATCACTGAAGGAAGGATTTACACATACTATCATCTGCACATTACCTTCACCTTCAAAGTAGTTTTTGAAAAGGTAAGTAAGTCTGCTGTCTCTGTATGGGACAACTTTGTTTATTTTTGACCGCTGGTTCTCCCGAAGGATTTCCAGACACGTTCTCAAACTCATTAAGGAGTTATTTATACAGCTAGCTTCTTTCAACCTACATGAAAAATATATATATATTAGATGGTGTTTGTATCAAGCTGTGCTATATATGTCCCTGCACATTACATTTAATGAAATACAGACCCATTTATGTTCACTATCTGAACTGTGAAAATAATAACATCTTTCTTATTGATTATGCTAAAACACGAAAATGATTTCAAAAAGTCAATTTCTGAAATTTCTCCTAAATCTTGAAAAAAGATCCCTGTGCCTTCAAAAAAAAAGGCTATGTAGAAATAAGAAAATATTTTTAATGACAAATTAAGAGGGCAGCACCATTGAAATTGAGGTTTTTACAGAATGATAAACATGTGGTTAAAACTGTGCAGGTATTTTTTGGGTAAAAGCAAACATAAATCATGAATATTTATACATATCTGTTTTTAAAAATTTGCAAAAAACGTTTTTTGAAAATAATGTACTTTCTTGGGTATCAAATTGGGGTTGACAAAATCAGTAGATGATGTTCTATTTAGAAGGTCATAAAATTTAGGATTTGACAATACATTTTGCTCAATAATTGCAAATATCATTATTCTACAAAATTCATCCCAAAAGACTTACTCATGTCAAATTTCAGCCATACCTATAGGTGCAATTTTGGCAAGATGTAAAAAATAAAAAAAAATTTGTAAATAAATTTTCAACTGCTTATATCCGGCGAAATTTTGGTCAGATTTAGACTTAATCCCTCCAAAAATGTTTTGCATTTATACTATTTACCTAACACTTCATAGGCTTACCTTGCACCAGTGTTTTGTGTCCTACTTGTCCTCTCGGATCCTGCCAAGTCAACCAGACTCAACTGAGCCACAGTAAGCAAATTTTTCTCAGGGATAATAGGTTTTCCATCACTATTAAATGTTATTTGCTCCAACTGTACTATTCTTATTGTGAATATGGAGTGGCTTCGACTTGACTCTGCGTTCAAATTAGTGTATGCCATTTTTTTTCTCTTCTGGCCTGCACTAAACACCTCAAAAGCCTCTTGGGAACTCTTAACTTCTACTTCTGTAACTCCATTTACGTACATGTTCCTCTGACTGTCCTCTCGTAATATTTTGTTTTGTAAAGTTTTACCACTCTGAGACTCATCCAGCAAATCATAGACGTTATTATTATAAATTTCAATATATGTTATGAATACAGCATATATGTTATTTTCATTGACAAGAGGAATTTTCGTGCCTTCATTGCAGAAATCAACTTTATCCACATTTAATTTTCTGTTATTCTTGGGGGTTTTTCCTACAGTTCGATTTTCTGCCAATCTATCTTGTGCAGCGTCTTCCTCTGTCTGTATTTCAAAACCGTTCATTCTGTCAGACTTTATAATAAATTTCGGAGCTTGTAGCTCACCTATAGTGTTGAATATGGTATAAATACATCTCGGCAATATCCCAGGATTATTTTCATCACCAGTAAGAGTGTACGTTTTTCCTGATCCTGTAACGCCATAAGTGAATAAGAGACCGTTTTTGCCCTTAAGCAAATCTTCCAGTAGAGGATAAGCTAGATGATCAAAAATTTCTTTCTGGGTGGAATAAGATGTAAATATATGCTTGAACCTGTAACGTATTTCTTTTTTTATTCCTTTGTATTCAGATATTACAGAAACTTCCTGGGGAGACAGTAGTTTCATTGCTGGTTCAGAGCCTTTTATGAGAGGTCGTAATCGACAATAAACGTGGACTGGTTCTTTTTCTGATTCGGAACTTGAAGACAACGTAGTTTTTTCTCTTCTCAATTTCCTTGGTGTAGGAGTAAATTTTGTAGCAGCAAACATTTTGATAGTAAATTTTTAACTTAACGAACTTCACAAATTCCAATTTCAAACAAGTTTTGACATTGACACAAAACGGTTTTTCGACGTTGCCATGACCACCCATCGTAAACGATATCATAGAGTAACTCTACTCTTTGTCACAGATGGAGAGGCGATGTCTAATGCGCAATCATTGCACATGTTCTTATGAATGCACATCAAATATTGATGAATAAACTTACTTGGCTTCTAGAAATTTTCTAGTGTTACAAACTAGAATCGTTTGTAGAACTCAAATTAGGTACAACAACTTTTCTCGAACAAAAATGGTTTTAAAAATATTACTTACTTGACTCCTAGAAATTTGGTAGTGCTACAAACTACAATTGTTTGTAGAACTCAAATTAGGAATAACAATTTTTCTCGAACAAAAATGGTTTTTCAAATATTTATGTATTTCTGAAGTTGTTCGGTAATTTGTTGTTTACTGTTTACTTATACGTTAATAGTTTTTAAATTATTTCATGCAATTGTTTCTGCTAACAATTTCATATTTAAGTGAATTCATTTCAACGCTTCAGACGAAATAATTCAATATCATAACTCGGTTAATTCTGAGGGCCAAGAAATCACCGTGGATGAATTCAAAATGTGGTAGACCTAGCCCAGCGCTGCTACCAGACCCTGTTATATCCATTCACCACAGTACTTTCTCTCGATGTATTATATACCGATGAAACGCGAATCGAGAGTCTCTACTTTTATTCTTTCATGGAAAAAGTCTTTTCCATAGATTCATAGTACGCCATATGTCCCAATTCTACTTGTCAAATCTAATATGTTCAGGTGTGAATTCAGAGATTGGTCAATTAAAAACACTGGTCCATTCGAGCAGAGAATTCCATGAATATATAATTCATTTAATGATAATAAATAATTTCCAAATCCTAAATTGGAACTTCATTTCGTAGATTTTTCAACCTACCAGAAAATAGTTGGTCCCTTTTCAATATTCAATCATCATTCATAACTATTACAATTCATATTTATCGGCAAAGTGTCTCATAAATTTCTCATTGAAATGATTCATTCATCAAATAACTCTATAAGGTCAGCAAGGGCTCTTTAATACCCGCTAGAGCCTTGAGACATTTGAAACGAACAAGAAATTGCGACTCACCCACCATCACTTTCTCTAACAATCAATGAAATCTTCACCGAAATAATTTCCTGTTTTCATAATACACTGTGGTATAATTCGATTTCAGACTCAACCTCTCTCATTCAGTCTATGTGTTCATAGATGTATGTACCTGTTGTGAGGAGAATCGAAAATATTTTATTAGGGTTATATATGTGGTATTTGCCGAAAAAAAGATACATAGTGTGTCAAAAATTGAGTTTTGACTTAACGATGGTTTCGGACACTTGAAAGCATACTCTTTCACTTGAACTTCGTCAAACTTGCGAAAAAACATGTACACCTCTATTTGGTAATTGTATGTTCAGAACCGTTCCCTGAAAAAATGTACGGGTATAGGTACGGCAGATTTTTCAAGTTCTACGATGCTGATGCGAGAACAATTCAGTTGTGTATCATTCAAATTCTCCTCAAAGTCAGCATACTCCGTTTCACACATTTTTTATGTAATATTTAAACCAGAATTTGCAGAAGATTCATCTTCATTACATACCGCATCCTATATCCCGTTGACAATTTCGAACTCTTTATCGAAAACCTCGAGATTTTTCAAAAATCGTATCGTGTTCATTTCAATTAAATATAATTCATGAAAATTCACAATTCACGATGAAGTTCTCACGAAAATTACGAAACTGAAAGAATACATTTGTGGTGATGAGATGGTTAACCCAAAAACGAAAAGGTTACTTCAGAAAAGGTTACTTCAATCAGCTGCATTGTAGTCCAATCACAGATTTGATAACAGAAGCTACCACCACACTAAAACGAGAATAATCATCGCAGATTGAAGGAATGACGTCGCAGATACCCGACCAATTATATCAAGAACTTACACCCCACTGTAGAAGTGTACATTGTAGTAATACACTGCGAAACTTCAAACGCTTTTTTCTCGAAAACTTGTTTTCGTACACTATGTACCTTTTTTCGGCGAACACCACATATATCAATATATGAAAGCAATCTATCATCTTAAAAAGTGTGCATTTTGAATAATCATTTATAAATGCATGAATTCTTTGTTTTTCTGTCACATGCGAATCGGGAATAGAGTAGCATAAACCGAATTGCCATGATAATAATTATACAATTTTCACAAATTTTATTTCAGATGCGTTTCGTTACACGGTAGCTTCATCAGTTCAAAATTCTAAACAAACCTAGTTGTGGCACAGAAGAAGAAGAGTACTATAGTAACTCTCCTGTGGTTCTGGTGTGTAAAAAATGCTTCCAATAAACTCATTTTTCGAAAACAACCATTTTACTCCGGAAGTTCCAATTTTATCTATAGTCTATAGTGTCTATCTAGTTCAAGATTGTGCATTAAAAATTATGTTTGTTTGATAAATGCAATTGAAAATAGTGCTGCCATCTTCTGTGACAGCATATTCATCAATAAATTTAAAATTATGCCTATATATGATATATAGGCATAATTATAATAAATCATATAAACCAGACTTTAGGGTCTAGAGCCTAGTGGAAACCCTGATTTAGAATCACTTTTTTTTTAAAGATGTCAAATGTCAGTGATGTCACTTTCAATTTATAAACAATGTTCAAAACAACGAATTATCCCCAAAAAATTATTTAAGTGTTTTTTCCATTTATAATCGTGTAACGAAATATCCTAAATTTATTAATGGAGTGTGAGGAATTTCTTTGAAACAATGAGCACCAGCTACTCTACAGCACTGTCGCATATTATTTTGGCAGGAACTGGAATTTACTGCTATTTGGGAGTAAATGATCATAGCCTGTATTTTCCACAATGCTCTTTCGGGTCAATAATCGTCAATTCCTTATTGGGAGTATGGAGATGGGGTATGTATTTTAGGACTATACTGCATTAAGAACCTGCTTATCAACTGCCAAACTTTGACCTATTATAAATAGGTTTTACCCATCATATGAGTTGTTTATATTCCAGGTAATCCCTCCTATGGAAGAAATTCAAACGGACTCTACAAATTTACCTCTTTATTACAAGACTTACTGGCGCTTCCATGTATCGTTTCAACAGAGTTGTTGCAGTATGGCTACATGAAAGAAATTGCATATGCCTATACTTTGGTATCTGTACTTCCACTGATAACATATATTTGTGATAACAGAAACATGAGTAATGACTTATTGAACACAATTCTGGGAGCTAACTGTATAACACTTGGGGTATTATCATTCTTACACCAAAATTACTTTGGTATTGCAGCTTGTGTTTCATATGCATTTAATCATTTTTTGGTAAGGAACGATGATGAGACTTATTTTGACATACCTTCTCAGGATTTATACAACTATGCCATGTGCTTTTTTGCATTTTTTGGACTAAAAACTGTTTTGGATTGAAAAGATTGACTGTTAGCTTTATGATGTTTGCATATCACTGTTGTATTTCGTCTATTTTTGTATACAAATTTTGAATGTACAAATAACCGATATATATATATAATAAAGTTGCAATATTTTTCTGCAATTTCGTTCTTTCTTGAAAAAATACTTGTATGTTCGTCTCAAGCCCCCCCACAGGACGTAGAGTGATGGGAATATGTTACTGATTCAAAGACTATTATTTTTTTTACTAAAGTTAACCTACCAGTTGTTTTCAAGGAACTTCAATGCAAGTTACCTGTATACTATTTTGACATGTTGTTTTGAGTTTATAAAGTAAGTATATACAAATCAGAAGTAAATAGTTGCTCAACTCTTAACTTTTAAAAGGTAGAAGATATCAAAGTTGGATAAAATTTAAGTAAAAAAGTATCATGTTCAGTTCTATTTGATAAGGAAGGCAATAGGGTTGCATTATTCTTTGCTAACAACTTTTTAAATGGTCTTGATCACTTGCTTGATGGGTATTCCAATTATCTATCCAAATCCGATAATCCATTTTAGAGTAAATAGTTGTTTTATATTCCAATAAATGTTTACCATTGACTTCCTTCTAATAATGACTTTTTTTACAAATTCTCTGGGACAGACTGCGGTTGTGTAACATATATTTTAGATTTCACAAATCCCCATGAAAAATCTAAGGGCGTCATATTAGGTAAACTAGCAGATCATTCTAAGAGACAACATTTGCATATCCACTGGTTTTGATGACTGTCATCTAGCAATTTCAAACCAGCATGTGATAATAAAGAGGTACCTCTTATGTCTGAATCATAATATCAGCATCAGCTGAAAACTCAGAGCCCAGGGTATATGTGACATCTGAAGTGTAAGATACACGACCTTTGTTCATTTCTAAACTAGTGGATATAATAGGAAGTGCTTGCAATGAAATTACAACAGGAACATTTCATAATGTAGAAAATAAATTTGTGAATATCCTGGTTGTGAAGGGTAAACACTTCTACTTTCTTTCCATTACTAGCGCCCACGCCATTCTTATCAAAAAGTTATTAGTCTTACATACGTTTTGACTTCTTCTGTTTAAAAGTTAACAAGGGGAAACTATACAAGTCCGTCGTATATTTCACTATTTAATAGTGATTTTTCGTGCTGGGAATCGCAGGTTGAAAGGTAAGACTTCGTTAATCCTTAGCACGCACAAGTTTCTACTTTCGAGGGTTGTAGTTTAAAGGGGGGAGGGGGCGACAGCAATACATTTTTTTAACGGATATTTCTACTAATAAGTATATGCCGAAGGACAAATGTGGTTAGGCTATCTAGGTACACAACTCTCCTCATATCAATCTGAGGAGTTGAGTTCTTTTGGTAATGAAATACGAATGTTTTTCTAACTGAATTATTTAAATAATTTTTTATTTTTTGAAAAGGAAAAAAAACGGCAAATTTATAAAATAGACGCTTTTCGTTTCGCTCACACCACACAAAAAAATCACTATTTGAAATTTGAGTTCTACTACAGCGTAAAAAAATAGGAATGTTAACATGAAAGTGGTAAACTTTAGAGGCATAGGTACCATCGTTATTCTTGTTTTTCTCAAATTGTTCAGTTTCCATCACAGTCGTTTCCTAAACAAATTCATGAAATGAGCTTTTTTCATGAGAATAGTACAACGAACGTGTCACGAGAGGCAGCACTAGTAGTAGGACAAACATAAACTATTCACATGTAAAACAGTGTTATTTACGTAATATTTATTTATTATTTAAAAAAATAAATCTGTTTTGTGAATTGTAAGTCGGATAATCGATATCCGGAAGAAAACGTGTTTTTATACCATTTATAAAACCTCATATTATTGAGGATGGATGTAAGAAATGGATAGATGCTTCGAGGAGAGTGGATTTAACAGTCCAAAAAATAAATGAATACTCATATGTATGCTCATGAAATGAATAGTAAATTTTTCATAGTTAATTACCATTGATTAGAATGAGATGTAACCTCAATCGTTTATTTAATTATATTCATTTATTATATTCAATTAAATTTATTTCATTACCATCTATATTTGATTCATATTTCACTCGGATATTTATCTGAAATTCATAGTTATTTTAAATTTCTCTCATTACAGTTTGAATCTACCGCTACTCTTTTACTATAGTCTGTATTCTAACCTGTCTATTAATTCACTTTTTTCCAGTTACTTTTACATTACGGCATGCAAGCCAAGGTTTTAATGTTACAACATTGTTGTACTTTACAGTTGCAAATTTTAATTTTGCTCCAGGAACAAAAAGGTTCACAAAATTATGTTCAACAAGTAAATGTAAAAAAACTGATTCACAAAACAAAGAAAATTCAAAATATATTTTACGTTCTGTGGTCGTTAACGGCATGCCCAATTGCCCAACTAAAAATATGGAGGGCGTACCCAAAGAGCATGCCACGTTTAGCTGAGCGTTTCAGATGTCAAAACAAATGCGACTCTAATGATAACATTAGTGACCTGTTGTGAGAAGTCAAAATGTATTTAAGAAACACTTTATTGTGAGATTTTCACTAGTCTAGTAAAAATCTCACAATAAAGTGTTTCTTGAAGTCAAGAACATTGGATTTTTTGTCTTTGGATCATATGGTGAGAAGTATGAAAAAAAATCAGTTGTTAGGGTCGAAATGATAAATGTCTCGTGACAATTGGACCTTGACTCCGACGAATGATATCTCAAATCTCGTATTCTTCGATAGTTCGCAGGTAATTCATTCATATTAATGCAGACACCCAAATGTCAGACTCAACCAACTCGTTCTGCGAGTGTAACAATCAAATCGCAGATGCGCGATTGTTTGAAAATATTATTTTTTCTGGAATCATTAGCTGTGACTTCATCTGCTCATATGTTGAGTACGACGAGTGCTTCAAGAATACCAGACCGTTCTTACGAACAGATCCTTAAATCTGTATCTTCTCGAGTTCATGCTACAATAATTCATAGGCATTCATACATATCAATAGTAGAGATTCAAATGTCAGCCTCAACCCTTTCGTTTTGTCAGCAAATTACAAATGTGTGAATCTTTCAAAATACCAATTGAATTGATGGATATAGCCGTTACTACGTGGTAAGAGATCGTCGTGAAAAATCATTTCAGTTTATTGTATTCGTTTGAAAATGTCCTTGTGGGACGAATCTGCAGTAACGTTAGTTACAAATACAAGTGGTATACAAACATAGAAAGTTTCAATTCTCATTTTTTAGAATACCAATTTCTTAGAAATCGTTCGGTGTGAAGTCACCTAGGTATACGTTGCGAATGACGAGTGATTGATTCATGAATAGCCGCCCCCTCTGACATTTGAATTTCTGTATTATATATGTTGAATGTTTGCTAGTGATCGTTACATGAACTCGAGTTTACAGGATCTAAACAATCGACTCATTCTAATGAGGGACAACCAAATCGTAGATCTGTGAATGTTTTAAAAATACCAATTTCTCAGGAATCGTTTGAGTGTCGTCACTTGTGTAGGATTTAGACATTGAAATTGTTACAAAATGAATAATTGTTTCAACAAAAAAATAAATGCAATAGTAGACATTTCTCTATTATATAAGGTTCTGTTCGAAATGAATTATTGCCAAATTCTCGTGCACTACTATTACAATGGAAAACACACCGTAAGACGGAATAAGAAGAAGAGGAAGATGGCATTTGACATGTTAGTGTTCCCGAGTTTCCGCATCCTATTTAGCACGACCTTTTCATCGTGGGGGCTTTGAAGTAGTAGCTGTTCCGATTTTGTTTAAATTGTCTAGAGAGACAATCTAATATAAAAGTTCACAAAAATGGGTTTTGAAAATATTTGGTAAGTCTGTTTTTCTAGTTATGAAATATATATATTTATAATACATTGTTGAATGTTTTAAACACTTCATTCTTCAACTGCAATTTACTTATAAATCAGGTCTTTCAACAGTAGTTGTATTACAGGTTCTCTCATCCTCGTAAATACGGACAAGGCTCAAGATCCTGCCGTTCCTGCTCAAACAGGCATGGTTTAATAAGGAAGTATGGACTGAATCTTTGCAGGCAGTGTTTCAGAGAATATGCATTGAATATTGGATTCAAGAAGTTGGACTAAGTTTCTGATGTTGATGTAAATAATGTTAAGTAAACTCATTTTGAATAAATAACTGAGGAATCATGACATTCTACTTATTTCAGTGAATGTGGTGCTGGAAGGTGAGATGTTACTGGTGCTAATAGATCAATTTTTAATTTTAGCTCAAAGATTGAGTAAAGTTTTCTACTTTTGATTCCAAAACTGCTTTAGGGTGAATACATTATTCGCCTTGTATTGGGGTTACAAGTTCAAGTCCCAAGAATTCACGTTTCACACCTAAAAACATTCGAACTGATTACATGGATATTACATGTATATTACATGGATATTACAAAGTGAAGAATATATTTTTCTGACTGATTCGGCAGTTACTTGATGAAGATCCATAATAATTTCATAAAACTACACCTTAGATTTGATCTCTACGAACTTCATTCAAAGAAATATATCACAACATGTTTAGCTAACATTACCTTTTTAGTAGTGATTTAAGTACTATAAGTTAATTCCTAATCCAATATTTATATACCCTACGTTTAAGTAATCATAATACTTGATACACAATCACTCGATCAAATTACCTAAAACATCTACAACTTATATACCTAACGTACAGTTTCAATCAAGATTACCTTCAGCATATTACATAAATTCTAGATTAAAAATAATACTTCATGGGTTTTTAAGAAAACAAGTTCAATAATGGTGATCCATTTGGTCATTCATTAGAATGTTTGAATTTTTAATATTATTAATTTCCATTGCTTGCAAATGACTCAGCTCGAAACCTTTATTTTCTATGTGTGAAACTTCAAAATCTTTGTTGAAGATATGATTTTTTTTTTTAATAAACGAAATATTTAAATTGCCTATAAAACAGGTGATATGTTGGGAAAAATAGTTGAAAATAATGAAGACAAAACATCCAAATTCGAGAAATCAGGTGTATATAAATTAAAATGTGGAACGTGTCCTAAGGTATATATTGATCAACATTTAGGAATCGTTTTCAGGAACACCATATGAGCTATGTAAATAAGAAAACAAGTTCAACATATTCAAATAATCTTTTAGAATGACTTAGCACTTGAGACCTCAACATGAATCCATCTTCAGTATCAAAGATTCACAGATTCGATGAGGATACCAATTTCAACATCATAAATATCTAGTCAGGGTCTGGTACAACAAAAATTTTGTTACTTTAAGTTTCACAACTTTCACTGAAAGTCCTTTTTGGTTTATTTTATGTAATTTTTTTAGAAAAATGAGTGCTTATTAGCACTCGAGTTGCGAGTTGCTTACCAGCACTCAAGTGAGAATAATTTTTTGATCGATCTGTTGAATAAAGTCCCTTTTACAGTTTGTAAATTGGTTCAAAAGACATTAGTGGTAGTATTTATTAGCCATATTTACATACAGAGTACAATTGGCAGGTCAAAAAAGTCGCTGACAGTCATGAAATTATAAAAATTTCACATTACATAGATGAAAATAAAAAAAAAATTGTTTTTCCACGATATTTCTTTATTGTTGACTAGTTTCGGCTATTACACCATTTTCAAAAGCAAATTTCGAAAATGGTGTAAACAAGTTTTGAAAATGCTGTAATAGCCGAAACTAGTCAACAATAAAGAAATATCGTGGAAAATAGACAAAAGTGTGTTTTTGTAGTGTATCCTCAGTTTTTTTTTGTTGCATTTTTAAAGCTGTTATAGCTATTGATATCCTTTATATATTTCGGCAAGTTGTTATAAATGAATAGGCAATTATAAAATGTAGACTTTTTAAATGTTGCAGTTTTATATTTTGGTATTTCCAATATAGGACTGCATGATGGCTAGTTATGATGACTTCCTAACACGAAGTCAGAAATGTTGCTTTTAAAAAAGTTACACATTTTAAAATGAGAATAGAATGGAAGGACAGAATGGAGTGTTATTTGAAGACAGTCCTACATGACTCCCTGTATTCCAAATTAAATAATAGTTTAATTATTCTTTTTTGAGAAGTGAAAACTCTTACATTCAGTAGCCTATCTCCATGTTGCAATATTATTTGCTTTATTGGGTTGTTTACAAACCACGCCTATGTGGGAGGAGAAACTAAGGTCTGAGTTAAGCCTGATGCTGTAACTAAATATAAGATTTTTATAGGTTTTTGTGAATGGCTTTTTTTTATGGAAATTTATGCAAGTTACCTTATCAGTATTTAAAATGAATACATTTTTTGGTATCATTGTTTCATTTCATTGAGAGCTTTTTCTATATCACTGTGCAAGTCTTCAAGGGTTTCTTCACAGACTGTGACTGTTGTATCATCGGCAAACTGTGTTGCTTGTCCCGCGGTAGTATGATTGGGAATATCATTTACAAAAAAAGAGAAAAATTAAGGGTGCATTCATTCGATAGTTGTTCTACTTTGATGAGAATACAGCAAAATAATATCTAAGATGAAAATATTAGATTTTTGGGAAAAAATATTCTGGCCCTCTAATTCTCTATTATTATACAGGAAAATGTGGAAAACGTTCAAAGAAACTGTATCAACTTCAATGTAGATGATGGTAGGTGTGAAGGGGCGGGAGTAATTTTACATATGCATAATGGTTTGATGATACAACTTTTATTTTTGATATTGAGTATTGTTTGCTGCAAAATAAATTACAGTTTCATCTATTACATCTTACATTTCCCTGTAATGGCGATTGTCAATAAGATTTTTAAATATATTAATTTGAATAGTGTCAGTTTTGAAAATATGAATCTCAAGATTAACTTTTTCATAAAATGACAACACAACGAATAGAATAATGCAATAGTTTTTCACCAAAGTCACATAAAAGTACCAAATAATATCTCTGATCAAAAAACATCGCATCTCGACAAGAATAACTTAAGATCTCAAAATTAAACAAAATTGATTTAGCATTTACATTTGGAAAAAATCTGGAAGTATTCAAAATAGCAACTCCTTGAGAGTAAAGGTATATTTTCTTATGCAACAAACTGCTTGGACTTTAATTTAAAAATATAGAGGAATGTTAATTTCACTGTACTGTATTGAGTTATGGCGTTATTTTTCGTCTAGGTGTTGTGAACCAAATAATAGTATTTTATGTTATAAGTGCGGTAGGTGTTGTTTTACAGATGAAGCCACGGAAGGTCAGTCCGGAATATAAACGTTACTGTAATAACACCTAACGGACATATATATCATATATTTTATTTCATTCTGTCTTGTCAACATTTTATGATTAAATTAAATTACAAATTTTATTCGGCAGTTTAAAATAATTTCAGTTGAGCTAAAAATGTAAAAAAATCCAATATTTTTCATTCACTAAAGTAGATGGAAATATATATTTTACATGTAAAGAGTCCTAAATATAATTAATAGGTATCACTAGATATTTTACATATACATCTTGATTAAAATCATAATCTGGGTTTTCGTCAATATGTCAAAAATAGTGTACACCAGCTTGTTCTTATACATTTTGTGAAATTTCTAATAATTATTTTTGAGTGAAAACAGGTCAAAAGTCGTAACTGAAATGTCATTGCTTTCAATGGTGAGGGGTGAGTTGATTTACTTGACAGAATGAAGTAAAATGAATTACAACCGTTTTTTGTTTACTTATGTTCTGTGAAGAGAATCTTCATTGACACTTTCTTTTATCTCAACCAGTTGAATTTTTTTCAACCAATGAAGGGCATATTAAGTTTACTCCAAAGAAATAGTTCTGGATCAACATTTGTGTATTGATTGTTGCCTATCCGTATAACTTAAATAATGTTTTTGGAGATTTTTATAATTTTACTCTACGTAAATAGATGGCGCAAAATATTTGACTGTTCAAACCAAATGTTCATTCATTTTTAATAAAACCGCCTTTAACTCTTTGAGGGGCAGAAAAGGTTACCAAAAAAAGACCGTAGTGGAGCAACAAAAGTTTTATTCATAAATTTTTATAAAATTTATGTTGAATAATAAGGTATGCGTAACGAACATAAAGGTAACTTTTTTTCCAAAATTGCACTGATTGTTTTTGACTTATGGGATGGTACAAATAAGGTACCACCAAGCCATCCAGTAAAAAAAATTTCATTCTCTCTGGTGAATTATCCTTTGGAAATTATTGGGCATGGTAGTTCTGGAAGCAAGATTTGCTTTTACCTAGACACAAAGGTACCTGGCAAACTGAACAAATCCAGTCAGTGCGCACTGTTTAACTTTTGAACTACATAATGCACATCGTCTTCTCGTGCTTCGCTCCGGTTGATGTTTTGAAGACTGATGTCGCACTTCAGCGGGAACAAAGGGCTTAGATTTTTTAATTTGTACTGGAACTATAGATTGAGAAGATGATCTTTTATGAGATACTAGTTTTTCAGCAACCAAACTGTTGATGACTTGACGTCGGAAGTCTTTGGAAGACATTGGTGGTAATTGTAGCAGTTTGTAAATACAGTACGAGTTTACGACCGCTGCATCTAAAAGGTAGAACATAATTCTATGCCACCATTTCTTACTTCGTCTATCAGTTTTGTAGCTTGCCAGCAGTTGATCGAATTTATCTACGAAATTCATATTATGATTGTAGTCAATGACCGCGGCAGGACATGTAACCGGTTTTATAGTACCATCCTTCTCCTTGCGTTGTACTTCACAAACGTTTTCAGGATCATGATAATTAGAAAGAATATGTAGGGACCTATTATCCTTGCACTTTATGACTGCTAATCCAGTGTTGCTTGTGAACCATTGCATATCACCGCGCTTCATTATTTTATCTGCTTTGAATGTAGGAAGATATTTACGTTGTAAATTCAATGTACCAACAGCATGAATGTTCTGCTTCTTCAGCTCTTCCATCAAAGGCACGCTGTTGAAAAAGTTATCAAAATATAGAATGTGATCCTTGTTACGTAAATCGACTGTAAGGTGGGTGATAACACGGACACCAAGAGCTTTTTCCGGACTGCTAGTTTTGCCGGTATAGATGTCGAATTTCAGACAATATCCAGATTTGTCGCATAGCATCCAAACTTTGTATCCCCTTTTCACTGGTTTTTTTGGCATATATTGCTTCAAAGAACTCCGTCCTTTGAATTTTATCATTGATTCGTCTATAGCGACTTGCTGGCTCGGAAGTAAGCACCTCTGAAAATTTCTCAGCAATAAATCTATCAATGGACGTACTTTATACAGTTTGTCAAAATTAGGAGATCCGCGGTCAGGCATAGCAGAGTTATCGTTTATGTGTACATGGGATAGCAACCAGCTGAAACGCTTTACGCTCATAAGAGAAGAAACGTAATGGTCTTTGAGATCTGGCCCGCTTGACCAGTAATCCTTATAACTGGGGGAATGCTTTAGACCCATGAGCAAATTTATCCCCAAAAATGTATTCAACTCTGAAATAGAAGTGGGAACATACATTTTTCCTGTAGAAATTTTTTTTTGCTCTGCGTACAGATTAGTATGGAATACTAATGGAATACCATTAATTCTTCTGTTATAAAATATCGGAAAAGCTGGAACGGTGTCACATTTTCTGAATCATTTTGTATAAAATCGGCAACACCAGAAGAACATTAAAAATCTGGAGGTGGGGTTGGTTTACAAGTATTTGACCAAGTTGGTGGTGTATAAGGTACAGCAACACTTGGGGCGGGAATATAAACAGGGTTAGTATTGACAATTATCTCCCTTATCGTAGATAGAGGTAAATCAGATTCGGACCCATCACTTTCGTAACTTCCATCATTGTCAATTCCAACGGGGACATTATCTGCCAAGTCTTCGTCATCGGAGGCGTCAATCTCAGATTCACAATCAGACGGTATATGTTCTACGTCTTCATCCACAATAGTATCAGGTCCTTCAATTTCGTTGTATAATTCTTCTAAAGTTCTGTCTGAGCCTCTCCATGTTACTGGAAAAAATTACATCATAAAAGTTTCAACCGACGCGGTGGTACACGAAAGGTACCACAACAATAAATTGTTTATGTTTACTTGTAATGTAATATTTTCAGTTTTGATGCTAAAGACACTTACTTCAAACATTTGCTATCCAATTATCCTTAGTTATTGCAAAAAAACTAATTTGTTTCATACAATAAGACCACTCAACAAAGCACATCAGTTGAAAGTACGAAGTTTTGAGGTTAGTGTCTGCGACACGCGACCAAATCTGTAACCAACTGTTGTGAGTTGCGTCTACCGTGCACAAGATGGCAAAACAACAGTGGTTCTAAAAATGAATCACTGCAACCAAAGCAATAGCTCTGTTGAGAAGGTGGTACACTTTATATACCACCGCCACCATACGTAGTGGTACATGGTGGTTCATTCTATGCACCGTGGCCGCCTAAAGAGTTAAACATGAATTAGATTACAAATATCAGCTATATGTCTTCAAATAGAAATGAAACACCGATAATTTTGTTAAAAGCAGCTGTTTGGATGATTTCCATTTACTTTCTTGACTGCAAACTTTGGCAAATATTTTTATACGTCACAAACTCGATACGAGATGGCACTCCCTATACAACTATTTCATTTTATAGCAAGCTAAATTTTCAATATAAAATCAAACTTGCCAGTATGTTTCAAAGCAAAGAAGGCTGAAAAGTTTAGCCTTCTTGATAGAGAACTGACTTAATACTCAGCAATTAGATGACAGTATTATGGAAGTAATTGTTATAGTGTAGATTGATACTTGAAACTGTGGATCGTAGTGAAATAATAAAGATGAATAGAAGTAGAACTTTAATAAACTTAAATTAAAATTACACGCGACAGTCTAACTTGAAATAAAAAAAAATTGATAAACCAAACTTTTCAATGACAACATTTAGCAACCACATAAAACTATACAGGGTGAATATAATTTGCAATTCAGTTCATATGTCGCCAACGATGTTCCGTATACAGTCTATATATCTCGCGTGTGATGTTAAATGTTTGCGACATTTACTATGCAAATGAGGTAACATTATTATAAATGTGATGTTGACAAAGTTATCGAATTAAAACGTTCCTTTGTGGTTGGGAAATGCTTCCGAGACTTCCTAATTAAAATTACCTAATCATGCACCTCGAATGAGGTTCCAAAATAATTTCTTCATGAAGGTTTGATTTTTTTATTGAATCATATGCTACTTTATATTCCATATGTGAAACAAGCAAAGACATTTTGGTCTGTCTTGTTAAGGCTGTATCCATTTCTATGATCTATAAGATGTGTCCTAGAAGTTAAAGCAGTATTAACAAGAGAAATAGGAAATAGTTCATGAGTTTGGGAAATGAAAAGAAATCTTTCAAATATATTCCCAAAACCCTTTTTTGCAGAAACATATTTGAAAAATGGGATGAGCCAACTGATATGCCAACATCCTTAGCAACTTCTCTAATAGTGATTCGACGATTCTCCATAACAATTTCGGAATGAAATATTCGGTTGATTTAGTTACAAAACCAGAGTAATGTCAAAAATGGGAAAAACTGAATAGCAAAAATTTCAAGAACGCTAATTTGTATATGAATAAAGGTCCAAACACACAAGTCTTCAATGCCGAATTTTTGAAACAGATATTGTATGTAATACAATTCACCATTTGATCAGTAGGTACTCTTCTTTCTTGAGTTTTCGTACGAAACTGGAATTGAGTACTAAAATTTACAAAATAAATAATCCCTATTCAAGCTATACTTTACCACCTAATGACATTAATCACTTGGGAAATCAATCTGACTTTCGCGAAAAACATTCTTCACTATATCTAAATTATAGCAGAGGTTACAAGTGGCTAGTTCTAGTTGATTCAGTATCGGACGAAATCTGGAATTATATCCCACAAGGTTCCGTTTTGGGACCGGTTTTGTTTCTCATTTATGTCAATGACTCAGTCCATGTTGACATAAGTGGTAAATTCACATGTTTCGCTGACGACACCACTATCCTCTGGCATAGCATTTACCGCCTCAAATTAACTTGATCAAATCATCATCGACATAAGAAGGGTGAAAGAGTGGTGTGATTCCAATCTTTTATCATTCAACATCGACAAAATAAATGTGGTCACGTTTAGATGTAACATAGGGGAAGTACCACCACTTGGAAAATGTAAAAATTGAAAATTTGAAGAAAAATAAATTTTTGGGCTCTTCATTGATGAAAATCTAAAATTTGATTCCCATGTCGACTAGCAGCAGACAAGACTAGCATCAGGATGTCATGCAGTGAGAGTTGTTGCAAGAGAGTTAGACACTACTATCATAAGATCAGTTTATTTTGCACGAATTGAGTCCTATTCACGTTATGGAATTTGTTTCTGGGGAAATTGTGCACAATTTCGTTTCAATATGGTATTCTCTCTACAAAAAAGATACATCAGATTTTAATGCAAGGCTAGCTACAGGGATTCATGCTGCTCATTATTTGTGAAGCAAAAAATTCTGACCTTAGTATGTCTTTTTATTTTGGAAACAGTGTGCCTTTTTCACAAAAAATATAAAAATCAATTTAATACCACCTCAACTTATAGTACACGTCAGTGTACTATACTACTACTATACTACTTCATTTCCCTTCCAACACCTACTCTAGCCCTTACACAAAATTTTATTATTTTCAATAGCAAGAAGTTATTTGATCAGCTTCCCAATAAGTTAAGGCGAATATATAATAAAAAGAAATTCAGAAAGAAAAAAGAATGGGAATGTTTCTCAATTTGGGTTATTACAGCAAATGCAAGTTTGAACAAAATATAGTTGAGTTTAATTCATGAGTTTTTCAAATTCACTTCGAAAAGTATTCAAATTGTGTTTCAAATGTTGGGTTTGAATTTTTAAGGGGATTTGTTTCTAATTCACATATTGGCACACATATCAAGTTGAAATAATTTATACGTATACGTATAATTTATACGTTCTACTTTAAAAAAGGAAAATTATCTTTATAAATCAACAATTAAGGCAAAATATAAATTATAGTTCAATACCACCTCCACAAGCCACATAGACAACAGTTGTTTTGTTATTTATTTATATAGAGGAAGATAGGTTAGGTGCACAAAGTGTCATATGCTACAGAATGTCTCAGAACTCTGAACATAAGTAAACAGAACAGCACGCCTCTGAAATATGTCATCTTTGTTTGTCTCATACAGGTAACAGATTCATTGTCCTTTATTAGCTATAACCGATGTTGCCAAATGGTGAAATAGAAACGAATCCCTTTAAATGTTGAATGCATTATTTCAGTCCTCTTTTTTTAAGTATTTAAATAATTTTTTGAAGAAAAAGGTTGAAATGATAACTTTAAAATGCGTTGTTTTAGAGCTCTTTTATGAAAACTACTTGATTTTCGTCAGGAGGAACATTCCAACAAAGGCATGTAGCTTTGTGTAAATAAGTTATTGAAATCAACACGAACTGGCTATCAATGTTCATTACGTAGCATTATATATTTACATTTACTCAATATTCATATATTCATGTACTTGTATTTGTATCTGTTAAGCTGGGCTTAATATTGTTCTGTCCATATATTTTGCTCTTGTCTCTAAGCATTATTTTATAGTTTATATTTGTTAATTGTCCCATATAGGTACATGTTTTACTTTACTAGACTTTGCCAATAAGATGTTCAGATCTTGGGTAATAAAGCATATTTTGATTTGATTTGATTTGAGTACCCCAGGGGAGTGTGCTAGAGCCACTATTATGTATTATCTATATTATAGATTAGATACAAGCAAAACCACGAGATTCTTGCAGACCACTGTTTAAGGAAAAGAAAATCCTCACTGTAATATCTATTTTTATTATTGAAACTATATGTCTCATAGAAAAACATCAAAATCGATTTTCAATTAACACAAACGCCACTCGATAAAAAAACGACTTTAATTTGACCATTCCAAAATATTCCCTCAGTGAAGACTCTTTTATTTATAATGGGTTAAAAATGTTCAATCACCTTCCATCAAATCTGAAATTTGCATGTAATAAGTTAGCCAGGCTTCAACCTGAATAAAATCAAGATGGATTGCATGTAATAACGTAAACTTTAGGGAAGTTTTGAAGGATTTTTATCAGAGTTCAGTTTATCAGAGTACTATCAAGAAACTTTTTGATTCGACTTGTGGCTGCCTCATTTTATGTAATATTGAAAATTTCCAAATAAACTCTTATTGGCTATATTCGTGCAAGTGATGTATTGTATTATGCTATGTGAATACTAATTGTTTGTGTTATTTTTTTGATCTTTGTACATATGTTCAATAACTACCTGAAATTTTATTCAACAACTACCTGCCGATGTGTATTTATTTTATTGTGTATAGGTAGTTTTCGAAAACATTACTCGAATAATTATTACTCGACAAGTAGCGATAGCTACTATGTGTGAATTTGTTTCTCGAATTATTTTAACCAAGCTTTGTCAATAAGATGTTAATCTTCAGACAATAAAGCATATTTTGACTTTGACTTTGTCCATATGAATGGTTTTGATTTCATCAATTTATATGTTCATGATGCCCCTGTTGCATATTATGGAACATATTAAAACTTAACTCTGAATATAATCAGTATTACATTGAGAAATATTGAATTGAATATTTTGGTACCAATAAAATCAAATGGGATAAGTAAAGGCGATGAAATCTCCGTTCAGACAAAAATTGTCTGCCAGTGAGGAAGATAGTGTCTTTTCCTTTACATTTTGTATCTGAAAGAACTTTCTATGTATCCTATAAAAATTGTTCATTAGAGTTATTTCTTTCTTCTTTTCTTTGAAGGTTTTCCACATTATTTGTTTAATGATGGAGAATAAGAAAGCCAAAAAACTTTTTCGCAAAATATTAAATATGAAAAAAAAGTGACTTATTGTATTTTACGCATGACTTCCATGTATGATTTCTCGTTATGTTTTTACCCAATTCAATCAAGCAGTAGTAATTCGAAATCGTGAAAAATCTTGAGTCAGTTTGACATCAAAAAGTGTCACGCCGAATTTTCAAAATGTGAACTGTAAAGAATAAATAAGTTATTACAAAGCCTATAGCGAAATGTTGGATTTTCAAAAAATATTTCGCTGTTACATACTTCCAGGCTTGGTTAACTCTCAGCTAGCGTTTGTGGGCATATACTGTCTTTTGATTTACCATTCTGAAGTCTCCCAGAAAGAAATAAAACTACCCTCTTTCGCATACTCCCTTATGATAGCTAACTCACTGGCAGGATTGACGAAATTTGGTAAGTTGATTGATTTTTGGAGTATGTTTTCAGTGTTTAAAATGGACTTTATAGTGGATTCGGTGGATTCATAATTCTGTTTTAAATAGTAACAAGTTGAATCGCTCATTTTCGAAGAGAACATTCACATGGAGGGAGACCGGCGGGAGAGTTGAAACCCTTTATGTTCAAACACGCAAAAAATTCAAACTGTTCCTTAATTCTTGAGCATTCAATGATATAGTTATTATTATGTGAAAGTTGGGTGTTATTCACTTACTAAGATTTAGTTAAGAAAAATAAGTCGATTTGTGGTAGGAATGTCCCCAAAGCATGGGAGAGTTGAGCCTAGTAGCAGGAAGATTTAACTATATCTAAGTATTTATATCAAAAATAAAGGCAAACTTTTTGTAAATCTAGAATATTTAAAATAAAATATCATATAATGAAGTTTTATTCAAACAGTCAAACCAAGTATATAATGCAATTTTAGAAGCGGTGATTTTTACCAAAAACATTTTGTATGAGTTTACTTGAGAAAATAACAGGAGTTAATTTTACTTTCATTTGTGAAAAACAAGACATGCAACCTTTTATTCGATTACTTTTTGGGCTCTTTCGAAATTATTTGATTCGTAGGTGTTTTTGGGGATGATGTATCTGAATTTGAAAACGATGTTCAATTATATAGATTCCTAATATACTTTTCGTGAATAATTGATCTTATTTTCCCCTGTAAAACAACACGCTCACGAGAATAATAAGTAAATTGATGGATGTAGCAATTTCTATGAGGAAATCATCATGAAAAATGAGAATTGAAACTTTCTATATTTTTAACCACTTTTATTTGAGGCTATTATTACTGCAGTTTTGTCCCATAAGGACATCTTTAGTTTCGTCTCATAAGAGCATCTGCAGTAACGTTAGTTACAAATAAAAATGGTAAAAACATAGAAAGTTTTAAGTCTTATTTTTCAGAATCATAATTTTTAATTGTGTCTTGTTGAAGGAATTTTTACATAATTTTTGTATGTTAGTGGCAATAATGATATATGAAGTTTTCAATAACTTTAGGTACCTACTGGTAAATCCGACACATCTTTTGAAACAGTTGCTAGGATATACAGAGTCTCATATCTTGAACGTATCCTTTTGGTCTTTTGTGATATATGGCTATACAAATCAAGGAAATTTTCCATCAGTCACCATCAAAAAATCTTCCAGCATGTGGAATTATAAAGTCTTCTTTTCTTCATGTTCGATTCCACTATATTGAATACGTTTTCCAGCTTGATACGATTGTTTTCATTTTTTTACTTTCTTTACCAATCTCACTTTCTAAAATTCTTTTTTTTTTTACAAATTTCGAATGCAACATCTTTGTTACCATTGTTTCTACACTCTGTCTCATTCCTACTATTCTGAGTAATTTTCTGTTTACCTTTTTCTATTTTTGATGTTATGCGTCAATATTCGCTTCAATGAGCAGGTATCTCCTCAAGTACTGAATTTTGTATCTATCTATTGGAAGACAGATAGCCGATTGGTTATCGGGAATGGTTCGTTTTACCCATTCAATCGATCGCTATGTGGAACGGTGGTTGGAGCCCGACGGCCGAACGATCGATTTCCATTGCTTATCGTCCAACCCGTGCTAGGAATCGACTGTTAAAAGGTAAGACCTCGTTGATCTTTAGCTCGTACAAGTTTCAACTCTTGAGGTTCGTCTTTTTTGAAAGGGTGCCAGCTGGTTGACGAAAAAAAAAACATATCTAGGGTTCTGATGGCCGCTGTTTTTTCAGGAAAGGCACCAGAATTTCATTTACAATTATGCTTGGCAAAACACTCATCACGCTTCCCTGCGTACGATGGATTAAATACCCCTAACTTGACTTTATTGTCAGTTTGTAGAAGTTGGTCGAATCGGGGTAAACTATATTTTTCCGGTGACTCAATTGAATTATCAAGGCCATCACATACCTTACTAATATTTGAAGTATTGTAAAAATTCATAATATTTCTCTTTTTTACTTCTGACCACCGAAAATACGTTAGTTCTCGAATCGGCTAATGACATCCAGTATGGCGTTGTGTTTTTGACAAACAATGAGCAAGTGCTTAGAGGCTTGTCTGTCAGAGAGGATTTCCTCTAGATATATGCGAATTATGATTTATTGCTTAGGACTGATGCATAAACCCACCTTTAGATGATATTTTTTTTTGGGATGCACAAGTACTACAGAAAAATCTTTACGATGATCTGGTAGCGGTTTCTGTGCAAAAATGATGGTTTAGGTTACGCTAGGTTAGGTCCGAAGTGAGTGGGTCTATTCAACTCTCCAGCGCAACCCGCAAGGATTTATTGTGGCTCACACCTATTCATACTCGACCAAATAAACCCAGCTTCTTAACGAAGCCGATTAGTTTGTATGGTGAATGGTCTTTCAGGTCTGATGGTAAGAGTAATGCTCTGCCGAACTCTAAAAACCTGATTCGGTTCCCAGCGGGGTATGCGCTCTGCTATTTCATTATTTTTCAAACAGAGGCGACACACACACTGTCTTCCGACAGTCCGAGTCTCTGCATACGATGATTCAAATGACAGTGACCTATAAAGGCCTGTTAGACATCGTAGTTCATCCCTACTGTAGTCCAACAACTGTTTGGTATCAAGCTTCGAAGAGTGAATAAACACCTTGGAGTGAGCCAATCCTGGAGTCTGCCAGAATTCCATAAATCTCCTTGCCATCCAGATGTTCAATGTTTGTTTGGCAAAGCCTAAAACGATGCCAATGACAGGTTCTGGCCCGAGGAAGCTGCTCGCAGCACCCTCCTTTGCATGGGAGTCAGCAGCCTCATTGCCTTCCAGGCCAGGAATTCAGACCAGAGACAATCTGTTAAGTCTGGTTTACGTTGGATTTGAATCGCTTGTAGATTATACGAGTATTTATTTAGAAAAACAACCACGGAAATTTATCATTCCACAAAGACCCTCTTCTTCAAATGAAAACGTTCGCAATGACAGCTGTAGTTTTCCGAGTTAAAGAGAAAATAAGGAGGTGTTTTGGTCATCTCCTGATGTTAACATGGTTAGAAAAACGGCAGTGGTTTAGTTCTGCTGTGTAGGGAAGATGTTTTTATTGGATTGTTTGTAATTGTATATTCATGATTTTTTATTCTCGTTAAGGTTATGGAGAATGACTTACCATATTTTGAATCATTTAGAAAAATGTGTCATTTCAAGTGTTTAAATCAAAAGTTAGTGAATAACTTCATAAAGTAGCTTAGGTAGGTATGTTCAGAGTGAGAGGGTCTATATTCCACCCTCCATTGTAACCTGTAACTCAACCAAATAAATCCAGAATCTGATCCTCTAAATTAACTTGCATCCATCTCTGCCGGAATGTGCAGCTATATAATCGCATGCACCTGTAGATCATCTTCTGGAATATCATCTACGATATACATAATGACATACTGAAGATATTCCAATCAATTGGTCAATATTGAGGTTGTCTGATTCTCTAGGTGCAAGATTCCCATCTCAATGTTCGCAGCAACTTTGCCAGGTGAAGGCATCTGTAAGTCTGCTATACCTGTTCCTCTCCTAATGCAAATTATGTTTCTGCTGCTCAAGAATTTGCTGCAAGGCACATTTAAAAATGTTTCTCAGTGTGTCTAAGCTGAGTAAACATTGATGCCAATAGAACAATGGTGGATTGAACCTACTGGGTTGCAATAAATCGGTAGTATAACCAGAGATCAGGTCTAGCCAACATTATGTTAATTCTTTTTACGGTTCAACTGTTTGACTTTCAAGTGAAAGAAATATAAGCAGTGGAACTTATCAGGTAGTACCCCGTCAGCGTACTCGTCAATTTCGCAAAAATGAGCTGATACCACAAGTAACTCTACGATTTATTATTTTCAGTTCCAGATGACTCCTTTTACGAACTGCGGCTTCTGCTGGACTACGCACAGCTTATTATGGCTCTTCCCCTCATAACAACGGAATTTTTGATCACGCACCAGATCTTTCCAGAAGAGATTTCGGGAATTCCGGTTTATATCGGCTTCACGGCACTGATGCTCTTCATCATATTCGAGTACAAACGACAAGACCTAACCGATCTGACGATAATCCTGAGCCTTTTCCTGTACGCTTCGACGGGGATATTTCATCAGCCGATGGCGATCGTAGGATCAATTTTTTTCTCCGTGGGATACTTTTCCTATAAAAGAAATGAAGGCGTTTGTTTGAGAAACCAGAACTATTTCAACCTGTGCATGGCAGTATTTGGCTTCCTTTCTGTGGTTGCGTTTGAACCTGAAAAACTTCTGAGCATACCATCTGACATGAGTTTATTGTGATTAGATCAGTAAATTTTTCAAAATATGTAGTTAATTTTTTTCTCTGATCAACATGTTCAAATACAAGTTTTATTATATACGAGGAATGTTCGAAGAATAATTGAATGTTTGGCGATTTTGTGCTATCGAAAAAAATGGATCAAAGAATTTGCATCAAAGTTTGTGTAGAAATGGAATTAGGTGCTCAAAAACACTTGAAATATTGACAGTGGCATACGGTGACTGTACGCCGAGTCATACAAATGTATACAAGTGGTACAAGCTTTTGATAGAAGGTAGACAAGATCTGATTGACGCCGCTCGCCCCGGACGCCCCAGCACATCAACAAGCGATGAAAATGTTGAGGAAGTGAAGAAAATTGTTATAGAGAATCGTCGAATTACTATCAGAGAAGTTGCTGAGGATATCGGCATATCGGTTTGAGTTAGTGTTGTAAATGGAAATATTTCCGTTGGAAACGGAAATATTGGAAATTTATGAACGTACCTTGGAAATATTGGAAACATTGAAAAATTTTAATAAAATATTAAATTTTTGTCATGAACAATTCGAATTTGATGTTTATCAAGCCATAAACTCACAATAGAAGAATTTTCAAATATGAAATATTCATTAGTTTGCAACTAAGTTGCAAAGACATACTGCACAGTATACAGCTGAAGAAATGGGTAAGATAATTGAAAAATACAGATCAAACAAATTCTTAGGATACGTATCAGATAATGCAAAAAATATGCAACTTGCTGCAAAAGGAAAATATGGTATTATTCTATATGGTTGTCTTTCTTAATTTGTTATGTAATGATTTGCTTAAAATTATTACTATATCGACTCTGATTGATAAAGTTACAGATATTGCAAAAGATATTAAGAATAAACAAGTTTTGTATGAACTTTTGCGGATAAAACAAACAGAAAATAAAAATGTAGAGCCAAATGCAGATGCCATACAATTGTCCGTAAAAAGTCGTTGGTCTTCAATTTTGAACAGTTTAAAAAGTGTATACAATTCTAGGCTCAGTTTACAAGTAGTTGCAGTCAGCCAAGAAGCAACAAAAATTATTATTAAAAATGTTGAACAGTGGATATTAGATTATGAAGTATTTTGGGGTCAAATTTCCAGCCTAATTAACATCTTTGAACCTATTGGCAAATGGCTGACAGTTCTAGAAGGATATTATGGCACTATTCACTTTGCTGTAAAAGAATTTAGCGATATTAAAAGGGTAATTCAGAACAACCATGAATTGTCCCCACTTAATGATAAAGAGAAATTTGAATTGCTAGAGTTTCTTGACAAAAGAGAAAAGTTTGTTATTGAGCTTATACATTATGCTGCAGAATTACTTAATCCGAATTTACAAGATTCTGAACTTGATGAAACACAAATTATTTTAGCCATAGAGTGCATAATTAATATAACAAAAACTAAGCTCAGTATAAACGAGCAAGACATAATAGATGACATATCAAATTACCGTTGTAAGAGTGGCAAATTATTTGGAAATAACTTTATATGGAAAAGTAATTTAGATAACCCGGTCTCTTGATGTTAAGGACTTTGTTTTTCATCTTTACTATTACAAATAGCGATACGAATTTTGATGATGCCAGCATCTTCGGCAGCAACGGAACGCAGTTTTAGCGTTTACAGTCACATTCATTCGAAAATGAGAAAAAGACTTACTAATGACAGAGCTGCCAAAATAGTCTATGTATATTTTGGAATCTATTGAAGATTTTGAGGCAGTTGACGTGCACGATGAAGATGTTGAGTTTGATGATAGCGATGAAGATATGCCTCTGGCATATCTTCATCGCTTGAATAAGTTCAATATTATTTTTCTTTGTTTGTGTTTAATCATGAGGTATTCTGTGTTTCGTTTTGTTTTGACAACACTAGTTTGAACATGGAGCGGGTAGCTGCGAAGTTCATCCCAAAATCGCATGAGCATCGCTCAGAAATTGTTGAATGACGTCAACGGATATCCAGATGTACTTAAAAGGGTCATAACTGGTGATGAATCATGGGTATATGGTTATGACATAGAAACCAGAGTCCAATCATGTCAATGGAAGAGCCCAGGAGAGCCAAGACCAAGTGATAACTTCTTGTGGGAGGGTGAACCACTTGGTAACCTAACGCATAACGTAGCCAGTGTGTCCGGTTTCCCTTTCTCCTGACTCTAACACACAGCGTTAGCCGTATTTCGGACAAACGCATGGCTCAGTGTTCAATGTGCGGTCGACCTATTATACTGTTGACAGTGAGCATATAACGTAAAACTATCACCGCTTTTGTAGTTGATTATAAAAAATTTGATGAAACAAGCAGAAGATGATTCTCGGAATATTACAGAATCTAACGAAAGGTTAGTTTAATAATATAATACGATTAATCAATAACAAGCATTCGAAAAGTCTACTGCCGCAGCGTCTATAATTTGAATTTCTGTATAAAAAATAATCAATGGAAGATTTTATCAATGAATAACCTTTTCTTACATTATCATACTGATATACATAAAATTTGAGTAATAACCTGAGCTTTTCTCAAGTTAAAACATTTCAATAAATGTGCGTCTCGAGACGCACACGTTTTTTATAAAATACTCGTGCCTATTGGTTGAATATTTCGTGCTTAAGGCGTCATTGATGCATTACTGAAAGTATAAGTCAGGGTTCACCCTGTTAAATATAACTTGATATTTCATAGGAGAAACAAGCGTCGAGAAGAGTGTTGCAGATTTTGTGCTGGAAACATTCTGTATGCTAGACTTTGAGATTATATAAACAAAAAACGAAAATTAGGAAGTGGCGATAAAATATGTCTTTAAAAAGTTGACTAGGATAATCGTAATGAGTTTGGAATAATATTAAACTGATAGTTGTCATTTCCCGTGTACCATATTAACTATTAACTTTAACTATTTGCTATTAACCATTAACCATTATTAACCATTAACTATTTGCTAATTTAAGAATGGGTATAAGACAGCTGTTCCAAGTTTGTTAGAACAGAAACTGGGTGGAAAGGTATACATTTCAACTTGATCATAATTTGGGGGTACAACATTTTCCAATCCGGGAATTGACGACTCCAGTGAAAATTCCTAATATTCACAAACGATTGGAAAGTATTGGTTGGACATAATATATGACGAAGAATCTCCTTTAGAAACTGAAGCTATTTCTTAAAAATAACCCCAGAAATAACTGTTCAGGACATAATATACTTTAATTCATTTGAATTTTATTGTTATGTGGTTAAGTGTCGCTTAGTGGGCCAAAATCTGCCCCCGTCTTCATAATATGAAATGCAAAATTACTACAAATCTGCGAAAAAAGAACACATACATCTCGTCGAAACTGCAAAAAAAAACATTCTATAGTACTTTAATAGAGAAATCTGAAAATAAAAATAAAACCTTTTGGAAAATCATCAACAAGCTAAGAAATAAAACAAGTAACTCTTCTAAATTCTGCATGATAATAGTGAAATTATCAACCCCAAGATAATAGCTGACACATTCAACAATTTTTTTACTGAAGCACCTAGGAGCGTAGCAAAGTCCATCAATAAAATAGGTAAATTTGATTTTTCGTGAAAAAGTAACACAAACTTTATTGCTTCGATGCCATTTACTGAAGATGAAATGTTACATATTGTATCAAAACTGAAAAATAAAATGTCTACAGGTCCAGATGAAATTCTCTCTGCTTTAATAAAGGAATTTGGTAAAGATATAGTCGGTATTCTAACCAATTTAGTAAACCATTCATTTGCATCAAGCTTTTCCCAAACTGTCTTAAATCAGCAAAGGTAACTCCGGTGCATAAAAAAAATGAGAAAAACCAACATTAACAATTACAGACCAGTATCAGGTCTCTCTTCGTTTGCAAAGGTGAACGGATATTGTATGCTAGACAGACTAACTCCCTTCATCAATAAATACAGACTCATACCAGACCAGCATCACGGTTTTCGGATCGGAAAATCCACAATAACTGCAACAGTTGACTTTTATAATAATGTATTGTCTGAGATCGACAAAAGAAACTCCTCTGTTGAAATTTTTTGCGACTTGAGTAGGGCTTTTGACTGTATTCCTCATAAGGCACTGCTACAAAAACCTTGGCTTTGTGGCATACGAGGAATTGCAGTCAAATGGTTCGAATCATATCTTTCCGATAGAAGTCAATTTGTCCAAATTTGTTTCAAAGAAGTTGACGGATCGATTAGTAAGCGCTACTCAGATGCCTCGCAATTGGAGCTGGGAGTGCCACAGGGTAGTGTTTTGGCCTCAATACTATTTTCTTTATTCATTGCTGACATAGTGGAATTTTTACCTGAGTATAACATCACGCTGTATGCTGATGGCTCATCTTTTCTTGTCTCAGGAATGCAGTGAAATGAATGAACAAGCTTGTAACCATCTTCTTGGTAAACTAGGATTATGGTTTTCAGCTAATCAACTATATTTCAATATAGAAAAAACTGAGTATCTAATCTTTCTCACCAGACAAAGAATAATAAACAATCCACTCTCCATCAAACTGAATAATTAAATTATCTTAAAATCAACAACAAAATTCTTGGGAATAACCCTAGAGGACGATCTCAGCTGGAATGAGCATATTACAGCAACTATAAATAAATTAAATACAAAAATATATCAAATTCGATGTATGCGGAATGTGGTTGATATCGGCAATCTGAGAATTTTCTACTTTGCTGAAATCCAGTCTATTCTACTTTATGGCATTTTACTATGGGGAAACTCTCCGGTTGCACAGCATCTATTTCTTATTCAGAAAAAAGCAGTATGAACTATAAAAAATGTATCATCCAGGAATTCCTGCAAGCCATTGTTTGCCGAATTGAATATTCTTCCTCTGGCCTGTCTTTATATTATGGACGTTGCCTGCTACATTCATAAAATAAAAAACATTCTCTCCAGGCATTCGGACATGCATGTCTACCAAACCAGAAACAATCAGCTAATCTATCCAAATCATAGCAAT